GTCGTTGTTGTTGTTGGTGGTAGTGGTGGTTGTTGTTGTGGTTGTTGGTTGTTGGTTGTTGGTTGTTGTTGTTGGCTCAACGGGGGGGGTTGCCCGGGATTTCAGCAGCGCAACATACTGTAAAACGCAGCGCGTCGGACATGTGACTTCCAGTTCGTCCTGCTTTTACCAGGACATTTGGCTGTCGGCAGAGTCGAAACTATACCTGTGTTCGTTGTCTTGTCACCAGTGCGTTGCAGCCTTGTGACGCACGATGCCCTGGCACATACCGCGGCAGATGGGTGCGCGACGTGCTGTAAAACGCAGCAAATATTACACATTTCAAGGGGCGTGTGCATTTCTTTGCAGATAATGACTGCGCTTTTGCTTGGCATCTTCATGTCAGCGTGATGTGAATAGTCGCACGTCGGGCATCGTGTTTACAAACATAGCGCGCGCGACTTGAAAATCACGGGAGCACACCTGCCAAAAGCTGCCAACTGGTCCACCAACTGCTAAGCACACCCGTTCAAGCGCACCCGCTCAGAACTGTATCCAAGCCCACCTGGTAAGCGCACCCGCTCAAGTGCCCTCAGAACTGTATCCGTCCAAGCCCGCCAAATCGTAAGCACGCCCGTTCAAGTGCGCCCGCTCAGAACTGTATCCAAGCCCACCAACTGGTAAGCACACCCGTTCAAGTGCACCTCCTCGGAACTGTGGCCCACCAACTGGTAAGCGCACCCGTTCAAGCGCACCTGCTCAGAACTGTCTCCAAGCCCACCAACTGGCAAATACACCCGTTCAAGTGCTTCCGCTCTAAGCGCACCCGTTCAAGTGCACCCGCTCAGAAACTGGTAAGCGCACCCGCTCAAGCGCGCCCGCTTAGAACTGTATCCAAGCCCACCAACTGGTAAGCGCGCCCGTTCAAGTGCACCCCCTCAGAACTGTATCCAACTGGCACGCACACCCGTTCAAGTGCACCTGCTCAGAGCTGTATCCAAGCCCAGCACACCCGTTCAAGCGCACCCGCTCAGAACTGCATCCAAGCCCACCAACTGGTAAGCGCCCGTTCAAGTGCACGTCAGAAATCCCAAGTGCACCCGCTTAGAACTGTATCCAAGCCCACCACCTGGTAAGCGCGCCCGTTCAAGTGCGCCCGCTCAGAACTGCATCCAAGCTGACCAACTACCCGTTCAAGCGCACCCGCTTAGAACTGTATCCAAGCCCACCAACTGGTAAGCGGACCCGCTCAAGTGCACCTGCTTAGAACTGTTTCCAAGCCCACGGAGGTAATCGCCCGTTGAAGTGCACCCGCTCAGAACTGTATCCAAGCCCACCAACTGGTAAGCGCACACCCGTTCAAGTGCATCCGCTCAGAACTGTATCCGAGCCCACCAACTGGTAGGCGCACCCGTTCAAGTGCACCCGCTCAGAACTGTATCCAAGCCCACCAACTGGTAAGCGCACCCGCTCAAGTGCACCCCCTTAGAACTGTATCCAAGCCCACCACCAACTGGTAAGCACACCCGTTCAAGCGCACCCGCTCAGAACTGTATCCAAGCCCACCAACTGGTAAACACATTCATTGAAGTGCACCCGCTCTAGCGCTGTATCCAAGCCCACCAACTGGTAAACGCACCCGTTCAAGTGCACCCGCTCAGAACTGTGCCCACCAACTGGTAAGCGCAAGAACTGTATGCAAGCCCACCGACTGGTAAGTGCACCCGTTCAAGTACACCCGCTCAGAAGTGTGTGTGTGTGTCAGTGTGTTGTGAGATGTTTGTGTCAATCCTGGCCTTGACCGGAAACATTGCCGGCTTGGGGTTGGTGTTAGTTTGCGAGAGCACAGCTGTGTGGAAAAGAGGTTTTGGTGGCCAAGCAACACGTTTTCCATGGGTGGGAACCACGCAGTGTTTATGACTTGATCGGTGACATTGTTCTTCGGGCAAACCCTCCCCGGCCGTTTCGCATTCTTTTCCCGGGCATTTTTTCCGTCCAACCTTGTTGTTGGTTGTTGTTGGTTGTTGTTGGTTGTTGTTGCTTGTTGTTGGTTGTTGTTGGTTGTTGTTGGTTGTTGTTTGTTGTTGTTGGTTTCGTTGTTGTTGTTGTTGTTGTTGTTGTTGTTGTTGTTGTTGTTGTTGTTGTTGTTGTTGTTGTTGTTGTTGTTGTTGTTGTTGTTGTTGTTGTTGTTGTTGTTGTTGTCGTCGTCGTCGTCGTCGTCGTCGTTGTCGTTGTCGTTGTCGTGGTCGTGGTCGTGGTCGTGGTCGTGGTCGTGGTCGTGGTCGTCGTTGTGGTCGTCGTTGTTGTTGTTGTTGTTGTTGTTGTTGTTGTTGTTGTTGTTGTTGTTGTTGTTGTTGTTGTTGTTGTTGTTGTTGGTTGTTGTTGTTGTTGGTTGTTGGTTGTTGGTTGTTGGTTGTTGGTTGTTGGTTGTTGGTTGTTGGTTGTTGGTTGTTGGTTGTTGGTTGTTGGTTGTTGGTTGTTGGTTGTTGGTTGTTGGTTGTTGGTTGTTTGTTGTTGTTGGTTGTTGGTTGTTGGTTGTTGGTTGTTGGTTGTTGGTTGTTGGTTTGGTTGTTGGTTGTTGGTTGTTGGTTGTTGGTTGTTGGTTGTTGGTTGTTGGTTGTTGGTTGTTGGTTGTTGGTTGTTGGTTGTTGGTTGTTGGTTGTTGGTTATGTTGGTTGTTGGTTGTTGGTTGTTGGTTGTTGGTTGTTGGTTGTTGGTTGTTGGTTGTTGGTTGTTGGTTGTTGGTTGTTGGTTGTTGGTTGTTGGTTGTTGGTTGTTGGTTGTTGGTTGTTGTTTGTTGGTTGTTGGTTGTTGGTTGTTGGTTGTTGGTTGTTGGTTGTTGGTTGTTGGTTGTTGGTTGTTGGTTGTTGGTTGTTGGTTGTTGGTTGTTGGTTGTTGGTTGTTGGTTGTTGGTTGTTGGTTGTTGGTTGTTGGTTGTTGGTTGTTGGTTGTTGGATGTTGGTTGTTGGTTGTTGGTTGTTGGTTGTTGGTTGTTGGTTGTTGGTTGTTGGTTGTTGGTTGTTGGTTGTTGGTTGTTGGTTGTTGGTTGTTGGTTGTTGGTTGTTGGTTGTTGGTTGTTGGTTGTTGGTTGTTTGTTTTGCTGTGACTGCTGTGCCGCATATTGTCCAACCAAGGCTTTCCAACTCAGCCGGCCAAGCCAAATGGCATTAGCATGAGCACCTCGACTCGTGATTTGCTGGCTGGATTGGAGGCTCAGCACTGCATCGGCACCTGTATTCAGAGGACGAAGATTCTGGAAGATGCTCTTACATATTGCAGAATTCCAGGCTATGTCCATCCATGCACGGACGATGGGTGGTGCCCACTGCTGATTGCGCCTTTACTTGCATCACCTTCATTTTTCCAATGTACATTGCTTTGACTTGAAGTGTGCTGACAGCCATGTTTTCCATTTGGGAGAGCAGATGCATTTGCACGCTCTGTTCAAAGGCAACTCAGCGTAGAGATTCCCAAGCAGTGGACACCCTACTCGAGCATGGTGCAGAGGTGAATTGCAAGGAGCCCCAGAGCGGATGGCTACTTGGTATTTGGCGCATACATTCCCTGATGCCAGCAAACCAGTATCAAAGTTGAACTGACGATTCGTAATGAGGCAACTGGGAACCAACAGAAAGCAGAGAGGAGCTAGGATTCATTTTCCATTGCCTTGTGGTCACAGAGATAGCAGCACATACTGTTTGCAGACTTACTTCCTCACTTTGCCCAGGACACCTTTGATGTTCGCGGCATCACTGGGCGATTGTGAGACTGTGAAGCTTCTGCTCAAGCATGGCGCTGCGGTCAATGACTTTGCGAGCCCGCATGATTGGAACCCTCTTTGTGCAGCAATCCAAGCGAACAACAAGGATATTGTCCGCTTGTTGCTGCACGTGCCTTGCTTTGACAATAGAATAGCCCATCCTCACTGTCGCTGCTCACCTGTGGCACCGAGGCTGGTGCAGATATCTCTCTCATCAAGAAGAGGCATCCTGCACTTGCAGAAGTTTACGAGCCTTGGTTGCAACTTTCTTTGAAGCCCGACTTGTCAACTTTTTCTATATCTTGTGCGCAGGGCTGTGCAGCTGCAGGAAAGTGAGCTCAACAGCCTGGAGTAATCCAGCGCGGAATGACAGCACATGGCGCGCATCAAGATTCCTCAGATGGCTGGGAGAGCGTGTCTGATGCTTGCCATGACTTGTGGAGCATCCGGTAATGCATGCATGGTACGAACGATGCCATCCATGGGAGTGCTTGCTGAAGCGTGGAAGAACCCAAAGCTAAAAACATATTCCCGCCCTTGAAACCTCATGAATCTTCATAAATCAGAAGTTCTTAGTCCCATCACACTAGAATGTTTGAACCTCAGTTGCCTTGAGCCGGTTGGGACCGGCAACTGGGTTTTTTTGGAGCAATGGGCCTGGCCTACGCACAGCGGAGAACTAGTGGTGTCAACATCTTTCAATTGCAGTGGCAACATCTTTGGCCCTGTGCCAACAGGGGCTGCCCTGCCACAGATTTCAAGATGAGGAGCACCCGGAGCCCATTGGCCATTTTGTACATGGATCTTATGACCTGGTTTTACAGGGGAATAGCCATCGGCCAAAAGTCTAATGAGTTTCGGGCGCTGCTCACATGATGGGAGATGGCAGTGTACAAACCTGTACAAACAATTGGAGGTGCCAGTCTTTGGCAATTGCCATCACGGGTCCTGGCATAATTCGGTGCCATCTATCTGAAAGAGAGGCGCTTTTTCGCTTCAGCCGAGCTGGTGGATTTGACGTTCAGTTCCTCTCCAGATTCATTTCAACGGAAATACCCCACTCTTGGACAGTCCTGTGTAGGCTTTGGTTTGTGAGATAGAACTCTTTCAAAGGCCGACTGCAAACACAGCAGTCTAGACTGCTGGACAAACAAAATGTGGACTCTGGCAATTGATTGATTGAACTTGTGTGTCCTTGAAGCGCGGGTGCAAGCAAGGCTTTTCAACACATGTGATGCGCGTATTCATCTTCAAGCCATGCTTGGCTCGGGTCACTCCTTGCATGCCCTGGCGTCTGCGACTCGCAGCGTTGTTCCAGGCGCTGGGTGCATCAAGCGCAAAGTGCATGTCTTGACAGCCAGGTGCAAGGCTGGCGCGTGCCATGGTACTTTGACTGCCGCCACAGCACAGAGTGGTGCGACACCCAGGAATCCACCGTACAGGAGTCTCTGTAGATTGTATTTTCTGTGTATCCCAGATGTGGAGCACAGGTGTTTGCCCTTGGGATCCACCATTAGTCTAACTAGTGAAATCTTTGCGAGACTACCAGAACCTTGCCTCGAACCACTAGCGGCTAGCGCGGCAATCGCACAATGGGACTTGTGTTCGGTACACGGGAGGGTTGCCTTTGTTGCTGCCAGGTCTTTCAGAGCTTCCGAAACGGAAGCAACACAGAAACAGAATGGTCTGTCGGCGATTTAGAGGCTCCACCAGCACGACTTGCAGAGCCAGTCTTGTCAGTGCCTCGCATACCCACATACCCGTAAGGCCCAGGAGAAAAGTGCCATGTTTCTTGTTCTTGCGCGGCCGCATGCGTTCTCTTTAACACTTTTGCCGCTAGTACGTATGCAATAACAACGGGGGTTTCCCTGCAATTAGATTTACGGGTGTTTCATCCTTGCCCGAGTGTCGGGGCTGCAAGGGGAATGCCTTTCCTTGGGAGATATACAACCTTGTGTCCAACATGGCACCAAGACGGTTCAGTGCGAAGACCTCAGATTTGATCTGATCCGGACAAGTACGAAAGCACTGATAACAAGAATTGCTTGAGCTGCCGCAGGAGCAAGTTGAATGCCGCGAGTGATTCCGAAATTCAATTCCATGGCCTTGCACTAGCCCTGCAGTGCAGTCAGCTCTCCGATTTTGGGGTGCCACGCCTATGCTGCCCATGCTGCTATACGAAACCTTCAAGAGAAGTCAACAAGGCATCGGTGACGGATGATGTATTGGTTAGCTGTTTGAGAGCTTAGCAAAAGGAGTACTACCTCCGCAGGCTTTTGGACGTTGACCGGCGCCAAACGTCTCACTGCCAATCTGCAGCCTAGTGCCATGGTGACAGCCCCACAGTACTGACTCAGGACAAACTTCAGAAATGCTCTGGAAGTTCTGGATGGTACATACCAGGACTGGTCACGTTTGCAGCTGTGGATTGCCTGCCTTCAGATGCTGACGAGGAGGAAGTATTTTGGTGGGCACAAGCGTTACTCGAGAGGCGGTGATCGAGGGTTGCCAGCTGTATGATGGCTTGTAATTTTGAATGACAAGGATAGAGCCGAGTTTTCTCCGAGTTCAAAACACAGATCACCTGTTTTTTCTTTGCCGGAACCTCAGCGTTTGAAGAGAACTGGCACGCGAGGGATTTGCACTCAGGCTCACTTCACTTTTGCCCTTAGGCAACCCAAATGGTACGATAGAGGATGATGACTGGGTACCGGTTCAGGCCATCGAAGCGTTGCAGGGAGATGCTGCAATAAGCTGCTTGCTTCGCCAGTCCGATGAAGAGAGCATCTTCAGATTGAGCACGGGAACCAGCCAGTGGCAGCTGCCTTAGCTGGACAACGACTTGAGCAGCGCGCAAAAGCCTTTTGAAGATTGTACTAGCTAGTTCTACTTCATGTTATAGTAAGGTCTATACTGCAACCCGTAAAGTTCTGCAGAGCGGGGGTCTCTTTTCTCCTTTCTCTATCAATCCCTGTTTCTTTCTCTCCTTCTGAAGCTGTCTCTCAATCTGTCTTTCTCTCTCTTTTTTTTCTTCTTCTTCTTTTTTTTTCTTCTCTCTCTTTTTTTTTTTGTCTTCACGTGAGCATTGCAAAACTTAAGGAGGTCGACCGGGTTCCGTGAGCAAGGATAAAATGTACACAGCACATCGCGTTGTGATGGTTAACTTGTTTCGAGTGGTACCCTGTTTGGCTCATGCCGGCCCTTCTTAAGAGCCATTACCAAGCTCTTGGGATTGGGCAAAGAACCCCCTTGGTACTGGGAATACAGCCCCGGAGAAGTAGCCGTAAGACCAGGATTCTGGATGTTGGAGCATGGCAACAGGGAATGAGAAGGGAATCATTGTTGGCAAGCCTATTGTTTGCATGCCCTGATAAGAGACAGAGGCGCCTGGAAGGCGAGGGAATGATGCACTAGCAAAAAGCAGACACGGCAAGCCTCACAGGATAGAGTCAACTGAGCCACAATCAAAACCTGGATAGATGAAGGTTAGTAAGGGACAATCCCAACCACAAATAGCTGCGGCCGCCTTCTTAGGTCTTTACTTGGTTCTGGGTCAACCATTTTAATACCTTGTTTTGATTGTGATTCAGCTGTCCTTGAGGGACCAGGCATTATCAAATAGTCGTTTGCACGGGGTTAAGTCATAGAAGTCAACAGTAATGATGTATCGCTTGTGGATGGTGAGCCTTATTTTAGACACTCGTTTCCTTTGCCCGGATATCTGGTTCCGAAGGCTTTCGCTCCAAAGGGCTGCAAAGGGTGGGCGGTCTCAGGTCAAATGAGGAGCGGGAACAGCGCAGTCACGCACTGGGCGATTTTTGCCGAAAGCCTAGCTATTCATGGTCGCCAATGCTTAAGACCAGCAAGGTAGTTCTTCCATAAATCCGCTATATATTCATTTAAATACGTATATGCACATATAGTACACATGCATATTGTAGGATGCCCTTTTTGGGGTAAAGGGGTCCGGGGTCAGTATTTTGTTCGCGGGATGCCTCGCTGCGTGCGCAAGCGTCCGCAAGCGTCTGCAAGAGGTCGGGCATTCGCAGGTGGCGAAAGTTGACGCGCCGTTAGGGAAGACTCAGAATGTCCGGTTTGTGAGCAAATCGTAGCTTTTGCGAGGTTGTGTGCCTTGTCGCTTCGCAGGCAGCGTTTTCAGAGGTCGGGTGCAGATTTCGTGACAGGCGCAGCGCTTTGGAGCGCAACACGCAGGGGCGTTGGTGGATGAAGAGGAAGATGGAACGAGAGCTGGAGAGGGATAAATAGATAGACAGGTAGAGGGATAGACAGAGAGATAGATAGATAGGGATAGGTAAAAAGATAGCGAGATGGATAGAACGATAGATAGACAGGTGGATAAAATAAAAGAGAGAAATAGAGACAGATGGAGTAGATTAGGTTGGATTTGATCGGGCTAGACAGATAGGTTGGAGTGGATTAGATTGGATGGGAGGGCGAGGTAGACGGGCAGATAGATCGATAGATAGATAGGCAGATTGATGGATTAGACTAGAGGAAAGATGTGAGTGGAATAGGTTAAATAGATAGGCAGGTAGGTAGGTAGAGAAGCCGACAGATAGGTAGATAGATGTGCAGACGTGTAGATGGACAGACGGATAGACAGACAAATGGATAGGTAGATAAATAGATGCACAAACCTGAAGTGTGTGTTTTTTCAAAGGGGTTCCCCTATTTTTAGACACCCCAATTGATTCTGAGTTTTTGGCGCGAACCCCGAGCACGTGGGGCGGATCACACGTTTTGTATTCAGATTCAGTGGCAAACAAAGTGCACCCTCTTTCAGCGCACATGTCTGGGCCTTTTTCTTAGGCTATTTCGGATATATGGCTGCGATTGCCTATCGAACCAGGCGAGCAATTCCCACGTTGTCGAATTTGCTTGCAACATGACATGTTCTGTGCGGACGTGCACCATTGTTGGTTTGGCCTTGCATTTCCCGTCTATTAATTGTTGTGAGTGTATGTGAGATTGCCCGGGTGCGGTCAGGAACACTGATGCCTCCATCGCTGGCATTTTGGAAGGTCGGCAACATGCCATGCAATTGCTGAGGGCTCATGGGGATACGGTGATTTTGCCATGGAGCATCCCGCTCATTTGCCGCGGTATGACATTTCCGAGGCTGCAGAATTTCTTGATGAGTAGAGCCAATTCCGTCGACTTCCTTGACTCTTCTGGCTGGCTGCACATGTCTCAATTTCTCTTTCAGGCTGTGATGAATTGTTGTGAGCTTTTAGGATGACGCACGAGCTCGTGTTGAAGCACCTGTATCCACCAGATGGACCTCCAAGGATTTGCACGTCTAGGCGTTCTTCGACAAGTGCCGCAATGTGACAGGAGATGGGCGACGATCGCGGACGATCCAAGCAGGACTGCTGCAACAGCTGGCAACTGTACCCTGCCTAATGCTAATCCAAGTGTGGTGAGGCCCGTCAACAGCTTGCAACTGGAGGCCACGAACAAGTTCTCAGGTGGGTTTGCCATGCCCAGTTCAGTTGCATGAATCAGTGTTGCAGATGGGCTGCAAGCTCAACTCCACGTCGCGGTTTTTTGCTCAGTCAGGAGGCAATGCGCATGACCCCCAGAAAGCTATTCCGAGGCCATTGGCTATCACACCACGCTAGTGCCATGCCCTTGATTGGGGCCCTTGTTGCAGGTGTGCAACCATTGGATTCTGAGGTTAGAGCTGATCTCTCTTTGGGAGGAGTTTCTCTCAGACCAGCCCGAGGCTTTGTAAATCAAATTCGACATGTTGCAAGCAAAGACAAGATCCCACCTCGGCTCAGGCTGCGGTTGCATTTTGCAGTTCATGTTTTGGAACCAGGCCTGGGCGACGCAAGACAGGCGCCACCACATGTTGTCTATGACGTTGCATGTTCCTAAGATGCAATTCTTCAAACTCACATTTTCGGCCCCTCGGCGCAGGTTCGCGCTGCCAGCGTTTGCAAAGACTTTGAAGCATACGGCGACCTTTGCGGTTGGGATGCCCGCTTGTTGAGTTTGAGGCTCAGCAGCTGCCCGTCGAGCTTGAGAGAGCGAGATACAGAGAGCTGGATTCGCTAACAAGCGCCACTAAATACACAGAACAAGATTGGGCGGATCTCATTCAATCAAGGTTCTCCAAAGATGAGCATTCATCCCGAAGAAGTGAACCATCTCGCACGTGGTCCACTGAAGGCCTGAATCAAAAGCACATCAAGCGTGCATGGGCCCGAGCGTGCCTTGTTCCTTTGAAATCAAGTTCCTCCGAGTTCACATGTCTGACCTGCCAAGGTTAAACTGCCAATCTCAGGGCTGCCAAGCCCGCAAATCGAGGACCGGCTGCGATTGTTGCGCGGTTTGCTCGGTAGATTGAAACGGTTATTTGTATCTAGCTTCCTGCCTTAGCGTTTACTCTTTCCAATGTTTCAGTTGGGGTTCCCACGCTCCATCAAGGGTAGAACAAAGGACAAACTAGCATTCCACTGACCGCTGTGAGGACCCATCTGCCTTTGTTGAAGACTTTATCGGCTTTTTTGCAGGCAGCGTGTGCACGCTTCTGACTCTCACGGCCGCACAGGCAAGCATGTCTTGTGAAGGCCTCGATTCTGATTCATTCACCTTGGGTCAGACTGACCCGCGAATTCAAGGCCAGCGGTGTATACATTCGCATCTGATTTGTTGCATGCAAATGCCCAACAGCATTTGAGATGTCAACAGACTTTGCGCAGAGGCGCTGACCTACTTTTGTGCACAGAGCCGGCTTTCCTGTGCAACGCACTAGGACCCTGTCTTAGAGGAACATGTCTGCATACCCCATACCTTTTGTGCACAGAGCCGGCTTTCCTGTGCAACGCACTAGGACCCTGTCTTAGAGGAACATGTCTGCATACCCCATACCCTTCCATTCATGTCGCGCTGAGGTAGATCTTTCCCACATCGGCCATTACTAGGCTATTTCGCCAATCCGCTGACGGCGTGCGCACAAACATTGCATCAATGCATTGCTTCCCTTGCTTGTAACAGCTTGAGGTACGTTCCCGCTTTCGCTGCAGAGAGCTGGCTCCAAGACTTCGTCGCCTTGACAAAAGGTTTGGGACGCTGGGACCTGAGCGCGCCCAGTCGCATCTTCAGCCTTTGCCTTGCTAAACTGTTGCTAAGGTTCTGCCCCTTTTATGGCTGTTGCAAGCACAAGGCCAGATACCCTAAGTCTAATACGGGTGAGAGAGCAAGACTTTGCATGAGCAGGTTCCTGGGCGAACAGATGCGGTTCCAGGCCACGCATTTTGCATGTTTCTCGCGAATTCACCGCTTGCCTTCGCCTCAGACCGGTGCTACTCGCGTGTTTGCTGCGCGACCACTGGCTGCCTACCTTGGTCCAGTGCCCGCACCTCATTGTCCGCAAGTTCTCAACAGGCTAGGCCAAGTTGAGAGAGAGCTTTCAAGGCGTGGAAGCAGCAAGGCAGAGGCGGGAGACGTTCGTGTCGTAACGTGATTTGCCCTGAAGAAGAGCGGCAAATTCTGAAGGTTGTGGTGCTCCGCCAGCCGAGCATGTTCTGGAATTCCGCGTGTATTTTGAACAGCCTGGCAGTGGGCCCAGTTCCGCGCAGTGGACAGCGGGCAGCGTGTTTTTTCAAGGAGATCTGTCCCAAAACAGGGGGAAACCAACAGGGAGCCAGTTGCCTGGATGCGTGGGCATGTCGTGGAGGCTACCCCGGTCTCAGGTGCGGATGAACATGCAAGAGTTGCAGTCTATGCAGTCTATGCAGGCAAGCGCAGGGCAAGCGCAGGGCAAGCGCATGTGAAGGAGATTGTTTTCTTTTGCTTCAGGCTGAGGGACTGAAAGCAACAAGCTTGCGTTTCACTCCCAGCGAGGACTGTTGCAAGGAAGACTAAAACGAAATGAAACTCAGTGCGACTGCTCTTGGAAGTTGAGCTGGAGAGGAATTGCCAGACGCATCATCGGAGGAGAGGATGAGTTAGTTAGCCATTTGCTGCATTCATGTGCAGAAATCTTCAAATGTTGCCGGAGTTGACAGGCAATTGCATCTTTTGCTGCCTGTGTCATCTACCCGTACGATGTGCAGACGCCCTGGTTGCTGGCAGACTGGTATTGCGCAGTTGTCCTGTGAAGCAGCACAGTCTCAGGTCACAAATGCGGCTGTACGAGCTCTATGCATTGTCTGTCCCGCTGTTCGTGCCAGTGACCCAGATTGGAGAGGTTTGACGCGTGCGTTTGCACAAACGCAAGGCCGAGCCGCGCGCAGCTACCCAGCTACATCTACCGGGGCTTGACATCCATCGAGGTGACTCGTGGAGCTGAGGAGCTGTGCTTTTTCGGTCTGGTGATTGCAGGACTTTGATCACGTGCTTCCTGACGCAGGATTTCAAGGCACGTGGCACTGTCACCCCCGAAAAGGGGGCATTGGTGGGACTTGCGTATTGGTGAGGCGGCTGGCGAAAGTCCGACATCGGGCCTCATTTGGACTTCAACCCGAGCGAACCTCGGGAAGGTGGCTGAAATGTTGAGGTCTAATACTCCTGCAAGTAAACGCTTTTGCGCAAGAGACAGGCAGTGACATCTTGAGCCTCACCTCATTGGCCAAGGTTTGACCGAGAATGGCGAGCTGCTGATGCATGGACGCAGCTTACACATTGGGTGACTCCGACATTCTTAAGTGACCCGGCATGCTTTGTGACAGAGCGCTTGTCATGGAAGGTCAGCTTGCCGCACTTGGTGCGCTTCGTGCGGGTCTTGTGATGCCATTCATTTGACTGCTCATGACTTGCAGCAATATGTGCTGAAGCTTTCAAGGAAAGCTCCGCGCAGCTTCTGAGCCGATTGATGCAGGCCACAGACTCACGCGAATAGCTTGGCTTGCAGTGTGATTGGCTGTCTTAAGGAAAACCTTCGCAGCGTGTCTGCTGCTATGCGGCGACAACAAGAGCGTGAGTGGAGCACGTTTTAGCGATACCACGCTTGGTCGTTGCTGCACTGATCGCTGTCGCAGACGTGCGCATGGCGCATGAAGTCGTTAGCACCAACATCTTGTTGGCATGTGGAGTCAAATCTTCACGTGTGTTTTGTGTAGCCGCAGCCCGAAGCCGCCAGGCGATGTGATTCGGGCAGTGCGCTTTTGGACGGCTGCCTTGAGCCACCTGGGGGAAGCAACCTAGACACTTGTCGAGCTTCGCCTGGAGAAAGCCATGAGCGGAGATGCACTGCTTGCGTCGGATGGAAGTTCGGCCACAACTTTCCAGATTGGTTTCCTGCCCCAAAATGTCTGCAGAACTTGCATTCTTCGTTTTCCCAAGACAGCTAACCCTCTGGAGGTTCCTACTTAGAACCCCAGGTGCTCACTTTGCATGAAGGGAGGAATTTGATGCCCGATTTGAAGGGCGGCGTGCTTAGGGTTTTGGTGCTGGTGCAAGTGCAGATGTTAGTGCAGGGAGCTGCTGGATTTACACTAGCTCAGACGGAGAAGCTGGCGATGACAACTATGTGATTGGAGCTCACCGCATTGAAAAAACACTCTTCTTGCGGGACTGCTCCGCTCCATGGGTTTGTCCTGTGAGCATCATGAAGGCGGGAGATGCAGGAGATGCGAGAGCCTTGACTGGATGACTTTGCTCGTCTCCTTTTTTCCAGAGAATGCTTGGGGTTGGGATCTTGGTTCCTGAACCAATTGCTTGTGAGAATTGCCTAGTCGATCCGAAGCGGCCAGGCCATCGGCTATCGGCCAGCCAAAACTTAGCAGCATCCTTGGCTAAGCCAGGCAGGTTGCAGTGCTAGAAAGAAGCTCATGACAGACGCTTTGCTTGCATGTTGCAGCTAGACACGGGCTCTGAGCATCAGAGCACCACACAGAGAATAGCTCGCAGAAGCGTGCAAGCTTTGCTCAATCCAGTGCAACACTCTGTAAGACACTGCACAGGAACTGCACCTTGGTCCAGCTTTTTTTTGCGACCAGTGATCAGCCTTTGCTGGTTGACAGTTGCGTGGGTCGCCATGGAATGTCAATGAGTTGCGAGAGCCAGACTAGATTTAGCGAAGCCTCAGCGGAGAGTTCGACCAGTTCGACTCGCTTCACAAGCTCAACAAGTTTGACTGGAAGGCGTTTGCTGGGTTCTGCGCTGACCTCCAATTCCCCCCACGGTGTTGACTCTGAGGATGGTCCACCACCAGCTCCGAATATCTTGAGCTCAACCTTGAGTCCTGCCGAAAACGCGCCACAATATTTCACCCCGCTGCCCCCCACTTCCAAGCAGGCAGTGGCTACGGCGCAGAAACAGGAAGGCACGGGCTCGTTCAGACCCAATGTTTTCGGAAGCATAAGCTCAAGTTCTGACCTGAAGAGCTCCACTTGGGGTTCGGGAAGTACAGCTGGCCACGCTCGCCGAATATTTGCCGAAGACAGAGCTGAATTTCTGGAGGACCAGTTCAATATGTGCCGCCTGCGAGATACTGTTCCTGCGGAGAACAACAGTCTTTGTCGGATCAGTGAAGTATCAATGAATACAAACACTACAGAGACCTCCCTGGGTGAGCGAGCGAGCTGGTTTTAAATACCTGGAAGGCTGGATTTGATTGTCGAGAGTTGCAGAGGCCTGACTGACTTGCAGGTTCAAGTGAGCAAAAAGGAGCACCATGTACCGGGATGCTTGGCAAGATTCGCAAGCTATGCTACTTTGCCTGATGCAGGCAGCAACCCATTTGCTTGGCTGCACCCATTGAACCGACGCGCTCCTGCTGGGTGCTTAGACTTGTAGTTGTGCCAAGATGCATCCCATTCCAAAGTGTTAAGTTTCACCACTTGCGGAGTTTGAATAGCTCTGTCTGAACTGGCTTGTTGACAGTTTGTACCTGAGGTTGTTGGATTTGACGGCATCTACAGGTTTCCTGCGCAGGAACTCAAAGGAGGGATTCTGATTTGTGTTTTTTTTTTCATGTTTTGTTTGACTGTCATCAGCCATGGGCCACGCAGGACTGGCTGACAGGGCAAAGGAGCGGGTTTCGGGTGCTTTCTCAAGACTTGAAGGCTGCTTGGATTTAAATGTGCTACTGGGCCTGTTGCATTCCTGACCCGAGGATCAAGTGAAGGTCTTGGGACGCTGTGGCTCAGGCGGATGCTTTGCATTGTTTTCTTGCCAACACTCTTGTGACCGCATTTGTCGAGTTGATTGTTCGCTGTTGCAGGGGCAACTCTGGGTGCCACTCTGGGTGCCAGCATTGAGGTGTGGTGCTCTCAACTCGATTCCCCCTCTGCAGTGCTTGTGGTGAGGCCACTGCAGCTGGACAAGCTGCGAAGTCACATGTGGTGATCCCACATGAACATGAGGCGCTCCTTTTTTTTTTTTGCATGCTTGCTGCGCTCTTCTTCTTCGCGCTGTGGTTGACTTTGATGCGAAGCATTCAGGTGCGCACCACGCTGCATGTGCGCGTCCTGGCAGCTCATGGCCTCGCGAGGCGGGCCGGCTTTGGGCCCAAATTCGGGGGTTGGCCTCGCCAAGCATACAAGAAACACGGGCAACACGGGCAACACGGGCAACACGGGCAACACGGGCAACACGGGCAACACGGGCAACACGGGCAACGCGGGCAACGCGGGCAACGCGGGCAGCGCGGGCAACGCGGGCAACGCGGGCAACGCGGGCAACGCGGGCAACGCGGGCAACGCGGGCAACACGGGCAACACGGGCAACACGGGCAACACGGGCAACACGGGCAACACGGGCAACGCGGGCAACGCGGGCAACGCGGGCAACGCGGGCAACGCGGGCAACGCGGGCAACGCCGGCAACGCGGGCAACGCGGGCAACGCGGGCAACGCGGGCAACGCGGGCAACACGGGCAACACGGGCAACACGGGCAACAACGGGCAACACGGGCAACAACGGGCAACACGGGCAACAACGGGCAACACGGGCAACACGGGCAACACAACACGGGCAACACGGGCAACACGGGCAACACGGGCAACACGGGCAACAACGGGGCAACGCGGGCAACACGGGCAACACGGGCAACACGGGCAACACGGGCAACACGGGCAACACGGGCAACACGGGCAACACGGGCAACACGGGCAACACGGGCAACACGGGCAACACGGGCAACAACGGGCAACAACACGGGCAACACGGGCAACACGGGCAACACGGGCAACACGGGCAACACGGGCAACACGGGCAACACGGGCAACACGGGCAACACGGGCAACACGGGCAACACGGGCAACACGGGCAACGGGCAACGGGCAACCCGGGCAACACGGGCAACACGGGCAACCCTTGCAACCCGGGCAACCCTTGCAACCCGGGCAACCCGGGCAACCCGGGCAACACGGGCAACACGGGCAACACGGGCAACACGGGCAACACGGGCAACACGGGCAACGCGGGCAACGCGGGCAACGCGGGCAACACGGGCAACACGGGCAACACGGGCAACACGGGCAACACGGGCAACACGGGCAACACGGGCAACACGGGCAACACGGGCAACACGGGCAACACGGGCAACACGGGCAACACGGGCAACACGGGCAACACGGGCAACCCGGGCAACCCGGGCAACCCGGGCAACCCGGGCAACCCAGGCAACCCGGGGCAACCCGGGCAACCCCGGGCAACCCGGGCAACCCGGGCAACACGGGCAACACGGGCAACACGGGCAACACGGGCAACACGGGCAACCCGGGCAACACGGGCCACACGGGCAACACGGGCCACACGGGCCACACGGGCCACACGGGCCACACGGGCCACACGGGCCACACGGGCCACACGGGCGACACGGGCAACACGGGCCGCACGGGCCACACGGGCAGCACGGGCAGCACGGGCAGCACGGGCAGCCCGGGCAGCCCGGGCAGCCCGGGCAGCCCGGGCAGCCCGGGCAGCCCGGGCAGCCCGGGCAGCCCGGGCAACACGGGCAGCGCGGGCAACACGGGCAACACGGGCAACACGGGCAACACGGGCAACACGGGCAACACGGGCAACACGGGCAACGCGGGCAACGCGGGCAACGCGGGCAACGCGGGCAACGCGGGCAACGCGGGCAACGCGGGCAACGCGGGCAACGCGGGCAACGCGGGCAACGCGGGCAACGCGGGCAACGCGGGCAACGCGGCGCAACGCGGCAACGCGGGCAACGCGGGCAACGCGGGCAACGCGGGCAACGCGGGCAACGCGGGCAACGCGGCGCAACGCGGGCAACGCGGGCAAACGCGGGCAACGCGGGCAACGCGGGCAACGCGGGCAACGCGGGCAACACGGGCAACACGGGCAACACGGGCAACACGGGCAACACGGGCAACACGGGCAACACGGGCAACACGGGCAACACGGGCAACACGGGCAACACGGGCAACACGGGCAACACGGGCAACACAGGCAACACGGGCAACACGGGCAACACGGGCAACACGCGCAACACGCGCAACACGGTCAACACGCGCAACACGGGCAACACGGTCAACACCGGCAACACGGGCAACACGGGCAACACGGGCAACACGGGCAACACGGGCAACACGCGCAACACGGGCAACACGGGCAACACGGGCAACACGGTCAACACGGGCAACACGGGCAACGCGGGCAACACGGGCAACAAGGTCAACACGGGCAACACGGGCAACACGGGCAACACGGGCAACACGGGCAACAAGGTCAACACGGGCAACACGGGCAACACGGGCAACACGGGCAACACGGGCAACACGGTCAACACGAGCAACACGGGCAACACGGGCAACACGGGCAACGGGCAACACGGGCAACATGGCACATCTCTTGTGCCTAAAGCTTTGCAGGACCCCGGAGGATGTGGAGGACATTGATCCGTGGGGCTCTGTGGATTATTTCATTTTGGCAGATCTCGCTGTCCGAATTGATCGAACTATTGTGACATGCCAGGTACGTTGTGGTTCGAGCTGGTCTGGAGGAGCAGCAGACGCCGTGCTGCTCCAAACTCACGTGACGCCTTCTGTACATTTCCGTTATGAATGGAATTGAGTCATGGAGTTGAAGCCTTGAGATGCCGCTCGCCTTAAGCTCAGATCCAGCTGTCAGCTCATGAATCAATCAGCCCTACCTTTCATGTCTGGACACCACAATTCCTTGCACTCCACTTTTTTTTTTTTTTTAATGTGCCTTCCAGCTTTGGCGTGCCTGCATGTCCAGCTGCATTTGAGTAGCATGAGAACGACACACAGCTTTGACGTTTTGGCGTTTCGCCATGAAACTCACCTGCCATGTGGAGCGTTACCGTGCCGCGATCGCCGCCGCGCGTGCCGCGAGTGCCCCCGCGTGTGCCGCAGCTCGGCGCGGCGTTGGAAGAGGATGGTGAGGCGAGGTGCGCGGAGTGCACCTGGAGCGATAGAGCGATAGAGCGGCTGATTCATTTGGTGCTTGTTTTGTCTTCAGAGCTGGCAAGCACTTCATTTGCACAGCAAGATGGCTCGTTTTGCTTGTCGGGGTCACATCCTCCTATGGTCCCCGGCATTGTGAAGCGAGGTAGCTATTTTCCAATCCCGGCTCAGATGTTGCAGTTTGACATCCTTCCATCCTAAATTATGTGTTGTTTTTGCCTGCTCGTTTTTCCACAAGTCAGACCGTGACAAACAGCACCTCAAAATGCTTGGCAGCAAAGGGCCCCGTATTCTTTCACGTTTGCAGGAGGTCCTTGCCCTGCAACCTGCAAGCTCCGATGAGCGGGAGAGCTTGGCAGTGCTCTTCTCAGAGAGCATGGTGATCTTTTCACAATGCATAAGGGGCCGGATAAGACCAGATTGATATCTCAAGATTGGTGGTTTTCCCGCTTCCCAAGCAACCTCAAAACGGGTTACCCAGTACCAACTTCCAACACTACACACCCATTTGATGCTTTGGCAGTGACCTCTGAGGCAAAGCCCAAGAGGCCACAGCTCTCGCCGCGATTCCTGGAAGCTGTCATGGCGCCGGGTGCCAACATTGGCATCAACCAGGCCTGGCCGCACGGAAGCTGGTTGATAACTTGTCAAAACCAACGGTACCATTTTGGGGTAGGTGCATCACCCATTTTAGTCTGTTTTGGTGGGGATTGGGATGTTCACTGGGGGTACGGGATTTTGAACCATGGCCATATGCGTGTGGCTCAAAATTCACCAGGAGGGGTTACGCAGGTTGTGGTCCATGTTTCCACTTACCAGGGTTCCATTTTGGTACCGGTTTTTTGAGCCACAGCCATATTGCTGGATTCAATGGGCACCGGGCAAAATCATGGAACTCTTGCAGTGTATTTAAACTTCCGAGTCTCTCGTCGTCTTGTGATCTTGGAGTCCGGTGGTCTTGCACCTCGCCGATGGGAGAATCAAATTTGAAGCAGTGTCGTTATATAGAGCTACAATGTTTGGGGATGAACATGGTGTACGTTGCCATACGAGTTGCTTGCGTCAATGGAATTCTGCGCTTCCATGGCTTGGTTGGGTTGTGGTCTTGGGCGCAGGTTGCATGAGCAGTGAAGCGGTGCACCCCCTCCAATGAAACCTGTGAAAATATCCACAATGCCCATGAATATTTGAACAGTGCAGTGCGCACGGTCAATTGCCCTGGCACCCCTGATGCCCCTTTGGGGCAAGTTGCTAGACATCGCTGGAACAAGCGGGCCTGCAGATGTGACAGTTTTGTTCTCTGCCAAACAGCAAAATAGTGTGGCAATCGGGCTGCTAGCAAACGGTCTGCCACCTGTTTTCTCCGCGAACAATTTGGACAAACAAGTCTGGTACCTGAGTCCTGCCCGGAAAAGGTCTGGCGCAAGCATTCTGCCAGCAAACAATCAGGCAACTAGAGTTTCTGCACCAGCGCTTTTGTTGCTACGAGGGACAACAAAGGCATTGGACCGTTTGCAGCATTTGCGTGAACCTGTTCCCAGGCAGGTCTGGTGCCAAACCTGTCTTGTTGTTTTGTGGGATGAAGCAAGGTACCAGATTGTGTGCTGGCAAAATATTTGTTTGCTAGCAGAATTTCAGCCTGGTGTGAAGACTGTAAACTGAGGCAGGCTGGCTTCAATTTGAACCAGGCGCACATGCGCACATAATGTCGCAGCACTCGGCCGAAGAGATGCAGATCATCCTATATCGTGTCCTGCCTGCAGGGTAAATAGTGCTTGTGGCGTTTGCCTTTTGCCCTGTTTCGAATTTTGAGCTCTTTAGTGACAGCACACTGTGCGAGGGCTTCGTCAGCTTAAGCACCCAGTCTTACAAAGGCTAAGGGCGCTTAGGAAGACATTTGCATGTGACGAGCACCGCACTCTTGGGGCATGTGATAGGTGGCCGCGACCTGGTTCTCTATGACGCTCATCACTACCGAGCCTTCGCCCGGAGAGTGACTCCCGAGCAAGCACAGATCTTGTTGCGCAATCGGAGACACAGCAGCTGCCCCCTTTGCAAGCAGGCATTGAGTGACTCCTGGGCCTTTGTGGTGGAAGGATACTGGGAAACCATTCGCAAGGTCTTTGCCGCGAATGCGACTGGCGAAGAAGAAACTGCTGCCATTGCGCAGCTGCACAGTATCGCAGCTGGACTTTTGAACACCGGCTACTACTCGCGCTTCTTTAGGGAGGAACGAAAGCTGGGCTCAGGATCATTTGGCGCAGTATATCTTTGTACCCACATGATGGACGAAATCGAGCTAGGCGTCTTTGCCGTGAAAAAGTTGGCACTTGGTGATGATGCGAATCGTTTGAGACAGGTCGTTCGCGAAGTTAAAGCTCTAGAGAAGCTGCGGCACATCAATGTCATTGATTACAAGCACTCCTGGTTGGAAATCGACCGTCACTCGGAGCTTTGTCCATATGTGCCCTTCCTCTATATCCTGATGGAAGCTTTGGCTGCAAGTCCTTTTTCAGCTTCACAGCTTTCCATGAAACCTTGAGCTGGCTGTTCGTGCTTCTATCCCACTCGGCTTCTAGGAATACTGCAACTATGGCTCCTTGGATTCTTTCATCTGGCACCGCGACCCTGGCTTTATTCGGGGCTGTCCAGACAATGCCAAGCGAGCTCGAGAGCTCAGCGATGAAACGATTTGGCACTTCTTTCAAGGCAACGGGGCAGCATGATAATTTGGCAATTTGTTCGATTCTGCCTCTGAGCCAGAAAATCAAGACTTAAGACATTACTGTTGTGTGGATTTGGGCTTGCTTGCAATGGGCTCAGGCACCTGCAGCGGCTTGGACCACTTGCACAGCCGGGGTATTTTGCATATGGACCTCAAGCCCTCCAACATCATGTTGCACGTGGATGAGGTCCCGGGCCAGGCAAATGCCTTGCCTAGGCCGTTGCTTTCAGATTTCGGCACATGCGAAATCATGGGTGAAGCGTTGTCCTCGCATGGCGGCTACGCCGTAGAGTTCTGCTCTCCCGAGCGCCTGGAGAACGAGGAGATCGGGGAGAAGGGCGATATGTGGAGCGCTGGATTGATCCTGTATTCGATGTGCTTCGGGGACCTGCCATATCACAGTGAAGACCCTTTGGAGTGCCGCAAGCAAGTCACCAGCCACAAGGTCTTGCTGAACCCACCAGAAAAGCGCCTGGCGGCTCATGACCCAGACTTCTGGAGTGTTATATGTATTTTGACTTCGCGAGCACCAGTGGCAAGACCCTCGGCGCGCGAATGTGAAGTGCTTGCAGCACAGCACCTTGCACGACTTGCCATGGCTCCTAAGACCTCGTCTCCATCTATGCATCCACAAATGCTAATGGATTCCGCGGACTCTGTACCTCCGATTCCGCAGTTAAAGGATGGTGCGCTGAATTGATGCTTGATAACATTTGATCCTGAGTCTGCCTCTGCCACAATGGCACGGTCACGTCAAAATGACATGCACCGATCTTAAGCAAACTTGCCCAGAGAAGGCAACACAAGATTGGCTTGAAGAACAATGGCTTGCCAAAAGACTCTTGCAAGTTGCAATCGTGCAGAGTCTCAAAATACTTCAATGCCGATCGTTTAAAGCAGCTCATTGCTCGCGCTGAGGGCTGTGATCAATGATCCCGATCCTGTCTGGGACATTGAGAATTGGACTCAGAAGGGTTGCGAAGAGTAGAGCACGAGTTGCAAGCACAAGTCGCAAGACAAACAATGTTAGTTTCTCAAAATGGTGGATTCCATTTTGGTTGGCAGAGGGAAGCCAAAAGGACACAACCCATTTTCGAGGTTCACCCATTTTTGAGGCAGTCCCAAGTGTTCTGTTTTTTGGGTTGCAAGATGCGGATCGGATCTGTGACAGGTTTACTTGTCCAGCAGACGACGTGGAGCTCTTGGAGCTGGAGGCGCACCTCTCTGATTTCTTTCGCCGAAGTGGAAGTTCCACTTGCGGAAGTACTATTTGGTGCCTGGCCGGGTTCCTCCTCAGGATTGCCCCTGTGCTGGAAAGTTCCGACACGTGAAGTGGTTTGGTCTTCCACAAACGGCAAGACTTCATTGACTCGCTTTGCCCAGCCAGCATCGCAGGTGCTGAACGCCAACGGCCAGCACAGCTTGGGGAAATCATCCCTCAGCATCCCAGATCTTGCAAGAGGCTGGGCGCGGGAAGGACAAGGCAGTCCGTCAACTATATGCCCCTTGACACGAACTCCTTCCTTTTCTTGGCAGCCGTAGTTGCCTCTGATGCTTTCTCTTGAGGCGTTTGGCACCGTCGACGGCTTCCCCTGGACAAGCCCCCAGGCGAGCTATCGGTGCAGGCTGGCTGAGAGAGCCTGAGAAGAAAAGCGCAGTTACATGTAGCATGGTAAAGGCTTGATGCATCTCCAGGTTCGACGTGACGTGGCAGTTGGCCAGGCAAGCATTGCGGCCATTGTTTGACACGTATTCTTTTTGGGTGACTCGCTGTATGGAGTCTAGCAAATGGGTTCTACAATCCCGTTCAGGGTCCCTTGATGTGTCGTCACCTGAGGACACCATGCTCCAGCCCGGACTCAGACAAGTGTTCTTACGGCAAAGAGGCATGCAGTTGGGCACCCAGGCTGGAGCCCGCCCAGGAAGAGGAGCAGACCTTCTCGGCAAAGGGTTTACAGCTCAGCCTGCCAGAGGCGCGGTGGTGAAAAGGAGCCATTTGTTCAGTACCCCTGAAGCGGCCCTTTCAAAGGCTGGTTGCAAACAAACCCATAAATTTAGTATCTAAGCAAAGAGACATAGAGCTCACAATGCTGCGAGTATTACAGCGGTTTGTGATGATTCCCTTGCTTCCAGGACTGGGAATCGGAGGACGGGGTGCAATCTGGAAGATAAGTACAAGAGTTTAGATTGATGCCGTTGCAGGAATCCGACGATGAGCTGGTCATACATGACAGCAGCTTAAGTGGAAGTGAAGCCAAAGTGAAGCCAAAGTGAAGCCCAACAGTCTTCCAGTCTGCGTGGCAGAGGTTGAAGTCGACAAGGTTCGGCCAGCATCTCAGCAAGCAAGCTTCAGCATCAAGCAGAGATGCTTCAGCAAAGGCCAAAGACCTTCGCTGCCCCGGAAGACCTTTTCGGTGATGCACGCCTGAAGGCAGCGTTTCAATGGGTCATCCCTTGAAGAGTGTCATGCAGCAGGTGGATCCAACCATTGGTCCGGCCCGGATGATACAAGAACTGGCGTCCCTGACAGAGGCGCATTTCAGATTTCAGTGCAGGCAGAATGCATGCCGTGCAAACAAATTGCCCATGAGATCTCTTGAGATGCAAACAAATTGCCCAATCCGCAATGATGCCAGGCTCCTGCCCGGGCCAGTGGGCTGGCGAGTGTTGGCCTGAGATCCGACTGTTGCCGATTGGCTGGTTCTCTCCTGGTCGCGTGCAGCTGTGCGCACAAGACTGACAAGCAGATTTCGTCTTTGGCTGGGCTCTGTGGCAGCCGTCACAGATCCCAAAGAGATTCAATGCGTATTTGAGCTGTCGCGCGGTGAGCAGTTCTTAAGACAATGTACCGACTTTTGCAAACTCAGGGCAGTAGGAGCCTATTCTTGCTTGCAAATGTCAGCCATTGACTGGAGGCTTGCGGGAAGAGCTGTATGTTGAGTCCAACGCCGGCTTCCAAGTCATGCAAGAATCATGCGCTTGATTGTTTGCTGCTCACTTCTCAAGCTGTGAGACACATTGAACAACTGATGCTAGGACAAAGGGAGGAGAATTCAGGTGGAGGCCACTGCACTTCGAATATTCTTTGAGGTTGCACACGTGCAAGCACCAGGCAGAAGCAGCGAGCACGGCTTTGGCTTCCGCTCTTGCTAAGCAAAAAGCCATGGACAAAGCAGCCCAGGCGTGCGCACCCTTGCTTTTTCCAAGAGCTTTGGATTTGATTGCCCTTTTGTCTAGGTTGGCACTCAGCTTTCACTTTTCCCACCCTGCAGGAGGAATTGCGAAGAGTGATGAAGAAGCTTCAGGAGCTGGAGGCGTTGCTTTTTGTGATGCGTTTGCACGCGTGTTTAGTCAGACTTGAACCGACAACATTGATTGGATTTGTCATACTTGATGGAGCAACCGCTCTAAAAGTACAAAACATACCTACTGCACTTTGGCTCGTGGCAAGTTCCTTCTTTAGCACGCATTGTCGCAGTCCGCCGGGAGTGTAAAGTATTTTTGCCGGCCATGTTTGCTGCTGACGCGAATGCTTTGGAAGGTTTGCATCAACAACTGGTTGAGGTGGATGGACAGTTGTGCATGCCGGGGTGCGAGACCAATTTGGGGGAGCTGCTGCTGACTGCGGCCGAGAAGAAAGGGGAGGGCGTGTGCCTGGAGGTGGACACGGCCTGCCATACTTTTGCTCAGATGGCGAGGATGGCCACTGCCATCCGAAAGGTCCTTCGGAAGGCACTGCAGTCCCTTGAGCTGCAGACAGAGCCGGGTTCCCCCGAAGCTCACCGACGCCGTGCTGATGAGCATGTGATCACAATTGTCCTGGATCGAGGCGTGAAGAGCATCGCCACCGTGCACGCTGTGATGCTGGAGCGCTGCGCCTACAACGCCTTCGACGTGGCGGAGCCCATCGAGAAGCTCAGGACCTGGGTGGAGGTGGCGAGGCCACCAGTGATGATCTCAAGCTCTGGCGTCCTGAAGCGTTTGGGCCTGACAGACATCGCGGCCTCCTTGGGCGAATTTCCGCGCGTGGTGCTTGATGTGGACCTGGCCCTTAAGAAGGCAGAGGAGGCAACGGTGCCGACGAAGGCAAGGCACAACCCCGACGACCTCGACAGGCTGGCCTACCTCATTTTTACCAGTGGCTCCACAGGGAAGCCTAAGGCCGTGATGATCCGCCACAAGTCGGCCCTGAACGTGGTGCGCATCTGGGGAAACTACGTCGGCCTCTCCTCTCAGGACCGCTTCGCACAGGTGGCCTCCATGTCTTGGGATGTGCACATCATTGAGGTCTACGGCACGATGGCAGCCATGGCCACCAGCGTCACCTGCCCCGACCTGGTCAAGAAATCTGGGCCAGACATGGTCTCGTGGTTGAAGGAGCGGCAGATCTCTGGCATGAGCGTAGTGCCCTCGCACCTGCGCACGATGTCGGCTGCTGGGGAGGTGTCCACGGGCGCGCTGCCGCACTTGAAGATTTTGGACGTCGGCGGCGAGGCCTTAGGCACAGACGTGGTGGATGCCTGGGCGCCTGGACGCAGGTTGGTGAACAGCTACGGACCCTCTGAGATTTCAGTGGTGTGCACGGGCGCCTACGTCACCCCAGGGGAGCCAATCACCATTGGAGGACCGCTGCCAACATATAGTTGCTATATTCTGGATCCCGAGACTCTTGAGGAGCAGGCCCAGGGAGAGCAGGGCGTGCTTTTCGTGGGTGGCGTGGGTTTGGCGCGTGGGTACTTGGAAGAGGAGGAGAAGACGCGGTCCAAGTTCCTGGAGCACCCGCGATTGGGCCGCGTGTACAACACCGGGGATTTGGCATCCGTGGACAAGCTCGGGCGCATCAATTACCACGGGCGGGTGGACTGGCAGGTGAAGGTGCGAGGTGTGCGGATCGAGCTGGAGGCGTTGGAGCAGGCCATCGCTGAGCTAGCGGGAGTCCAGCACTGCGAGGCCCGCGTCTCTGAGGACAACCAGCGGCTGGTGCTGCTGGTTTCGGGCACCTCCAGCGAGGCTGAGTTGAAGCAGAAGGCACTGTCGCTGGGCCGGGGCTACATGCTCAGCCAGGTGAAAATGGTCGACAGCGGCGATTGGAAGTTCAATGCCTCGGGGAAGCTCTTGCGGAATGCGGTGCCTTTGGAGGAGGTCGTGCGAGAGCTGAAGCAGGATGGGTGGGAGGCCTTTGACAAGAGTGAGTGCACTGAGCTGGAGCTGGAGATCGCGCACTGCCTGGCGCCGCAGGTGACGGAAGCTTGGAGTCGCAAAGACCACTTCATGGAGGACCTGGGTGTGGACTCTGGCGGCTTCGGCCGGCTCATCACCCAGATGCGCGCACGACCCAGGCTGCACAAGGTGGACCTCCAGATGCTCTTCGAGTACCCCACGGTGCACGCGCTCGCGCAGCATCTGTCCGAGGAGTCCGCGGACTCGGACGATGAGGTGACTGCAGACTCTGCGGGCGAAACCTTTGTGGATGCCTTCTTGGCTTCAGTGGCGATGAATCCCCACAGCCTGTGCCGTGAGTCCCAGTGCGAAGCTTTGAGCTACCTGCAGATGCGGAGGTTGGCGTGCGCCTATCAGCGGCTGCTGCATCGCGCCAAGCCACGCAAGCCTGCCCCGATTGCCATCCTTTTACAAGGATACCAGCAGATGGCTGCGATGATTGCAGCATGCATGGAGGGTTTCGCCTTCTGCTTGCTTGACAACGCTGAACACTTGGTGGAGCAGCTGCAGCAGCTGGGGCCTTGTGCCATCATGGCAGAGCCGCAGACGCTGGCGGAGCTGTCCTGGAAGGCCCAAACTTGCGCCGCGTTGGTGGACGTGAGTGGCGCTTCGGCGCTCCTCGCCCAACCGCCGCTGGCGAACCTCGGCGCCAAGGCGGAGGATGCCGCGTGTGTGGCTTTGGTGCCTGGCGCTGTCCCCGTGGCACTGTCCCACTCGCAGCTAGCGCTTGTGGTGGAGGCCTGGCGCCCACATTTAGCGCCTTCAAAGCGCGTGCACCTCAGCGCCGGTCTGGGCACCTGCGCTAAGACGGTGGCGGCCGTCGCCGCGGTGAGCTGTGCGGCCACGCTGGTAGAGGATCGCCCGCAGCTGGTGATCTCCGAGGTGTCTGGGCGAACGCCCAAAGCGCAGACCTTGGTGGTGGCGGGCCAGACGTGGTTCACCGCCGTGCCGGAACCCCCTTCGCGCTTTCCAAAGAGCGCTGCCTGGTCCCAGAACAGTCGCCTCAGCGCGCTGCTCGCCTCCGCAAGCAGCCTGTCGCTTGCCACCGAGCTGGGGCCATACATGCTGGGCCGCGGGAAGAGCAAGGGCTACGGACCCCAAAGCTGGCCGAAGCTGTGCGCGACGGTGCAGGGCCTGGCGATCTTGGCCCAGCCGGTGATGGTTGCAGCACGACTACTCCTCGCTGAGCGGATTTTGCTGCCCATGATTTTTGTGGCGCCCATGTGGCTCATAGCCATCATGCTGATTGCCTTGCTGACCTTCGAGCAATTTCTCCGTGTGTTCATCCTGGTGGCCACAAAGTGGATACTCATTGGACGCTACCGAGAAGGAGATCATGACATTTACAGCTTGTACTACCTCCGGCATTGGCTGGTGGAGCACATGGCCAAGGGCACGCTGGTGGGGCAGGCGGCGCATCAGGGGAGCAGCATCTCCTTTCTCTTCTTGCGCAACCTCGCATTGAAGGCGCTGGGAGCGAAGATCCACTCCACGGCGGTGATCACTGCGAGGTGCGTCGCCTATGACCTGATCTCTGTGGACGCGCTCGCCACGGTGCACGGGCCGAGGCACCTGACGGCGGTAAACTACGGGGAGCGCCGCATGGTGCTGCGCCCGGTGAAGGTGGGCGCGGGCGCCTACGTGGGCCCCAACTGCACCCTGGAGCCGGGCTGCGAGGTGGCTCCCGCGGGCTACGTGGAGCCGCTGTCCACGGTGACCAGCCGCATGGTGGTGGAGAGCCGGGTGTCGGGCGTGCCGGCGAAGGTGGTGGGTCCCTTGGACCAGAGCCGCCTGGTGAAGCCGGAGGAGGTGCGGAGCTTCCGGCGCTGGGCGGCGGCGCTGGCCACGGGGTACTGGGTCCTCCTCATCCCCAAGGCTGCGATGCCCGTGTTGGCCGCCGTGGGCTTTCAGCTGATTACTTCCTTCTACAGGAACGAGCCACAGGTGCGGAGTGAGATGGTGGCAGATGATCATGTGGACACCTTGCCGTTGACGTTCCTGGACCAGCTGAAGTGGATCCCGATCCTGGCCTTCGCTGTTTCAACGCTGCAGACGGTGATGCAGCTCCTGGTAACAGCCGCCTTTTGCCGGCTGCTTCCGAAAGTGCAGCCTCCCTTCCAGCGCTCGCTTGTGAGCATTCGCGCGCAGATCGCTGCGCTGAAGATGTCTATGGTGCTGCAGGCTTCAGAGATGTTGGCAGATGCCTCCATCGTGCCGTGGTTCATCCGGATGTGCGGGGCATCCTTTGGGCATGGCTGCGCCATGGGCTTGCAGGTGACTTTGCCGGAGACGCTGGAGGTGGGCCACGGGTGCTTCTTCGCCACGGGCAACATCCTCACCAGTGTGGACGTGGACCAAGGTCAATTCAAAGTGCCTTGCAAGACGGTCATGAGCGACCACACCTTTCTGGGCAATCACAACCACCTGCCGCAGGGCCTTCCGGAAGGCAGCTTCTGCGGTGTGGGCACCTGGCTGCCGAATCGGCCCACAGAGCCCAACATGAGCTACTTCGGGAATCCCGCGATGAAGTTCCGCCGCGGCAACCAATCTGCAGGCACTCGCCAGGGCCCAGAGCGCGCGAGTTGCTTGGCGCGGATGTGGCACCACTTCAGCACCAGCGTCATGGACGTGTTCCTCTACCGCGGCGTGCAGGGCATGGTCACGGGTCTGGCGCTGCTCAGCAGCCGCCGCTTCTGCCCGGTGATCACGCAGGTTTGGGAGCCTTTTGCCCTGCTCTTGGTCTACATGGCGTATGCCTTGGGCTCCTGGTATCTCTTCTCAGTGGTGTTGGGCAACCTGCTCTTCAACACAAGTGCTCCACACAGCAATGCGTACTACTCCACCACCGTCACACGCTGGTTTACTGCACTCACTGCGCAGCAGCGGGTCTTCAAGCTGCCATTTCAGACGGCGGGTAGCCGGTGGCAAGCCCCCATCCTGCGCCTCCTTGGTGCGCGCGTGGGGAAGCGCTTCTTTTGCATGAACGAGATGGTCCTGGTGGACGCGCCCTTTACGGAGGTGGGAGACGACGTGACCGTGGACTACGACGGCCAGGTGCGATGCCACTCCTTTGAGGATTTCCGGCTCAAGTTCACGACGTTCAAGATTGGCCACGGGGTGACCATCATGACAGGTGCAAGTGTTGCCATGTGCGATGCCGGAGACGGAGCGACGCTGCGCCCAGGCAGCCTGACTTGGAAAGGAAGCAACCTGGAGCCGGGCGGCGTCTACGAGGGCGCGCCGGCGGCTCTGGACCTTGAGCGCGGGGGTCCAACGCTCTTGAGGAAAGCACCGATGGAGGGGAAATGAGAGACCGGTTGTTTGCATGCTAAAAAGCAAATTCGCTTGATGCGCTAGACTTTTGAATGCAGAGGCACTCGGCAATGCCGGGCTTGCTTAAATTTGTACAGCTCTGAATGCAGAGGCACTGTAGACGGTGTGAATTCTAAGAAATGTGCCACCGCAAATTGGCATGAACTGAAGCCATCCGAGAGTGGCAAGGCTCCGTGAATTGTACATCCCCAGGCTGCAGCACAGGCTGCTCCGCAGGCTGCACCGCTGGCTGCGCCGCTGGCTGCGCCGCAGGCTGCGCCGCGGGGCGCACCCAGCCTCCAGCCCAACACCAGCGCAGCCTTTTCGCAAGGCAGGAGAAGACACGTTCAGCTAATGCCATGGTCAACGTGGTCAGCGGATCATGGCTTGTGCGGGCGAGTGCTTTTCTTTCCATGTGTGCAGCAGGTGAGTCCGCTGGTGGAGAGCCTGCTGAGTCTTCCACTAGCCAGGGGGCAGTGATTGCAAAGCCCGATCCAACGCAGTGAGCCCAAATCGTTGAGCCTCGAGCATTTGAGCTTCGTGCTAAACTGTCAGGCCCGTGAGCCAAAGCCCATTGAGGTGCGCCCATGGGTTGAAGTGCACTGGCACAGTGGGCACCACAGTGGTGGCTCGCAGGTCGATGGTGCCCAAGGCAAAGGCCGAGTTGCCTCCCAAGCCCCAAGACTCCCAAGCTGTGACGAAGGAGGCGGGTTTTGGTTGAGGAGTAAGAAAAATAATCCAAAGTTAACCCGGAGCAAAGTGAAACAAGTGAGGCGAAAAGTGCGAAGCGTGAGAGAAGTGAGAAGAGTGTTAAAAGGAGAAAAGTAGAAAAGTAAGAAACGTAAGAAAAGGCGAGAAAAGTAGAAAAGTGAGAGAGAAGTGTGAAAAGTGAGAAACGTGAGAAATGCAAGAAATGCGAGAATAGCGAGACAAGTGAGAAAGGTGAGGAACGTGAGGACAAGTGCGAAAAAGAGAAGAAACGTGAGACATGTGAGGAAGGCGAGAAAAGTGAAAAGCGAGAACAGTAGAAAAGTGAGAAAAGTGAGACAGATCAGGAAAGGCGAGAAAAGTGAGAAAGCGAGAACAATAGAGAAGTCAGAGAGAAGTCAGAAAAGTGCGAAAAGTGAGAAAGGCGAGAAAAGTCAGAAAGCGAGAAAAGTGAGACAACCACGTAGAAAAGTGTGAAAGAAGTGAGCAAAGTGAGAAAAGTGCGAAAAGTGAGAAACATGAGAAGAGTAGAAACGTGTTAAAAGTAGGAGATAAGTGAGAAAAGCGAGAAAAGTAGACGTGTGAGACAAGTGAGTACAGTGAGACAGGTGAGAAAACTGGGCAATGTAGAACAGTACAACTTTGACTTTTGGACTTTGGACTTTTGGACTTTTCGACTTCTCAAGTCGACTTTTCAACTTTTGGCCGTTTGACTTTCCGAGTTTCGACATTTGCTGACTTTGAGATTTCTTTGTGGGTGTGTGATGTTGTTTTTGGGTTCAGCGTCTCTATCCTCCTTGATTCATCACTCCTGGGAACCAATCAAATGCCAACAGATCGAAACCCCGATTCCCAGAATTGCAATTATAACGCATAGATGGGCCAGCGGACTAGCTTCATTGTGTGATTCGCATGTCGCGAGCATACAAGCTGCTGCCGGTGTACTATGCGTATGCGTGTTGCGCATTTTATCAGCCGCTCAATGCAGTCACAATGTTCCTCTGCTACCCCGTTCCTATCACCTTTCTTGCGCTCTACTTTGCTCTTCGTGCTCACGCAATGCCCCCCACAGCCTTCCTCTCGCTCGTGGCTGGTTATCAACTGCAATTTGTTGCAAAGACCATAGCAAAACATTTTTTCATGAACAAGTATCAAACACCCATCCCTGAGCCAGAGTTTCTTCCATAGAAAATTGATCATCTTGCCTTGATTTGAAAAAGCATTGCTTGGATAGTGTTGAAAAGCGCCACTTACTTGCTAGCAATTGCACACAGAACCTTTGGGACATCTTTTCAGCATGAAAAGGGCGCTGGCATCTCTACTTCCAATTTGGTCCAAGTATGTTGCGCTATTTTTTGTTTTGTTTTGGCCTTCGCACATTACTTGCAACCTGCTGCTGCCTACTTGCTTTGCTCGAGCTTGTTTCGCTCGAGTTTGTTTCGCTCGAGTTTGTTTGCTCCCACTTTTTTCTTTTCTTTTCCGGTTACTAGTTTGCCATCGTTTTTTCGGTTTCCAGTAGCTTCCCGTTGCTCGCCAAATCGTTTTCAGGAAGCAATTGGAGAGTTCTATTTCTTCGTGAGCGCCGCTTGTTATTTTCATTTCTCCATAATCTTAATCGCTTCTAGTCGTTTTGGTATTTCCGTCGAGCGCCGGACATGGACACATGGGGTCATTTCCTTCTTACGGCTATTTTCGCAATCGTTCTGTGTCGGGCTGCAGTTAGAATATTGGCATGGCATGCCAGCGTTGTTTCATGCAATGCCCCCCGGCTACAGCTTTGTGGTTTCGAAAGGAAGGTTTCCAAGCCAGCAGTTGGAAATGCCGCTTTTGAGAAAGGTGCTCACGCAAAGTGAAAAGGCGGTTGCCCTCTATTTCTAATTTGGTCCGTTATTCTTGCGGCACAATTTGTTTGTGAATGCGCATTGCTTCGAATGAGCCGTCAATTCTGTTGGCCCGTCGGCTTTTTCAGACTTTAGCTTGTTCTTGCTTCCTTCCAATTGCTACATTGCCGTTGGGTTGAATTTTGGCAGCTTTTAGTTTCGTTTTCCTTCATTATGCTGGTTGCACTGTAGATTCCTACTTCTCGTAGGCAGTCTCTTTGGCGAGCAAAGTGCTCACATGGGCACCTGGTGTCATTAGCAAAGCAGAAACATGAGATAAGTGAGAGAAGTAGAGACGCAAATTCAGTAGAAACAGAGACACATAACACAAACATCAGAAAATGTGAGCACGGTGAGACAGCGGAAAAGTGCAAAAGTAGAGGGTGTCTTTTTTGTTTGAAGGGAAGCCACAAGGAAAACCGCCAGTTTGGGGGTCCAGAACCATATCTTCGGAGGTTGAACTGCAGTTGCATTCCCAGCGCCAACTTGGGCAGGTGCCAGCGAAGAGCAACAGCCCGCAGGTCTTGGCTACTAGCTGAAAGATCTAGGAACAGAGAGACCGCTGCAGGATACCTACAGCGCGGCTTTAGACAACCTCCAGAAGGCTAGGCTGTGGACAGATAAGCCAAGTGTAGCTGAGCAGAAATATCATGAACCATCCCATCCCATTGTAAGTGCTGGGAGTGATTGCCTGCAGTCACTGTCACCATATTCCCACATAGCTAGGGATGCGGTCACTGGTTTCGGGGATTCAGTTGTTGCAGAAGATGTCCTTCATCCCTATGACCACTCCACTTTGCCGAATCAAAGCCTAGGCATGCTTTGCGCCTGAGGTCATGGGAGGGGAGACATGTTTTTGGGATTTAACCAGAATCGGCTCTAAACATCTAGGTGCACGTCCACTTGTGCCTGCAGCTCGGCTCAGCCAGACACGACACCCTCTCCCTGTAGCCTTCCATCGCTCTCGAGAATGTGCTCCGTTCTGCACATTAGGGCTCTTGAATCACAGGGGGATGACATTAGGCTCCTAGGCGTCTGGGGGCTTTGTAGGGGCTGTATCAGTCTTACAAAGGAGCTCGGGGTGCAGGGAAGGAGTCTTCAGGCGGAACCAGAAGAGGCAGCAGGATTCTGTTCTCCTCAAGAAAGATTCCATTTTATTGGCATGCATCCTATTTTACTCGGTTCTAGGATGCGCATGGCAAAGCTTTTTGATTGTTTGGATGACTGATAGAGCAGTCATATACAACACGTTGTCGCCCCAACTGAGGCCTTCGCTGATGCGTGGCGTGGGCTTTTTGGGACTCGTCGGGGGAGCCTGCGGCGTGACCTTGAAGTTCGGCCAGGACGTGGATTGGCCGCCTTTTGCCTACAAGAATTCCACCACGAACGAGCTCATGGGCCTTGGCAAGGACATCGCGGATGGCATGAGCCTCGGCTGGATTCTACTTCCTTTTCCCTCGAAATGCAACACCGTTTTGCGCCCCAGTGGCGCCTGAGGACTGCCTTGTGTGAGAACTTGACCATCGAGGTGGTGGAGACGAACTGGCTCGACTGCTGGACCTCCACAGGAACGCTTGGACCCAAGCTGGTGGACGGCACCCTGGACGCCTGCATGACGCACCTTGGAAACATCGAGCCTGAGGCTTTTGAAAAGGAGCGCAACGCTCTAGTCATTCTGATTGCTGTGCGCTAGACGTTTGTCCTCTAAGTGCCCGAAAACCCTTCGCTCGTGGCTTCGCCTGCAATAAAACATGCTGCCGCTTGTGCCAGGTACAGTCATGGCCGCGGAGCGCGCGACACCTTGGCTGACTTTTCGCTGGCAATTCTTGACGACAACAAGGCAGCGGGCTTGCTGACTCTGCTGGAGAACGGTGTGCCAAAGGCCCCTGGGGTCCGAACCAGGCTGTTTGGGTTTCCACTTCATAGAAGTTCCCCGTCAGAAGCGTCCTTCTGCTTGTTCGCTAGTTCCTAGTTCCTGGTGAGCCAAGGTGAGTGGATGGGATGATCTCGCCGATAAGACGATCATTGACGCTGGGCGTTGTAATTGGGAAGAAGTTGAAGGTTTCTGTGGCCCCAAAGCCCTTTGCAGAGTTCAAGCCCAGCAAGCGTCGCATGAGCGACTAGGATGTTGGAGGCTGGGCGCCCACGGCAGATGGTCTCGGCTATGTTACAAACTTCTGCTCCAACCAGCCGTACTCGAGCAGCGTTACACTCGCCGTGGGTCCGGAGAACGATGATGCTATGAAGATGCTGCGCAACGGCCAGGGAGATGCTATCTTCCTCTATGCCGACCAGGCCGAACGCTACCAGTGCACCACGTCGGACATCTCACAGGCTCGCATGTGACATGCGCGGAGCATGTGACGGTGTGAAGAGAGAATGAAGCCAGGGGGCTGTTCGGAGGGTAAAGATGGAAAGATGGCGTGCATTTTTGCAAACCCGAGCTTCGAGAAGAATCTGGGCTTCGCATGGTCGCCGAGTCAGATGTTGTCTGGTATTGTCTGCCATAGCCCACGCATTTCGGATGAATTGCTCTGTTCACGTTTGCCACGTGTTTTTGGGGCTCGCCTGCATCCTTGCATGGAGAACCTAGTTTGAGACAGCTGGCTTTGCCTGACGCACTGACGCAGGCATGGAACTGCAGCCTTTGGGAGGGCTTTGGCACTGAGTACGCGTACGTCCAGACGGGGCAGAAGGGTTGGGCGATCAACGGCACCACCCTGGCGATTACCAAGCCTGGCTCCGCAGTGCCAAGTCTCATCAACTCCTGCCTGACCAGCTTTATGCAAACTGAGGAGTACTACAACATCTGTGTGAAGCATAGCTTCGTGGACAACTGCTTCCCCAACAGCTTCTTCCCCAATGGGGGAGGCGTAACGCAGAGCTACGACAAGCGCACGAACGAGCACACCGGCAGCTGCTCCTCTGGCTACTGCCCATGTGGCACCCAGAGCACGACCCCAGTTACTACTTTCACCGCCGATGCGAGCAACGTCAAGGTTGCGTCCTTGGCGGGGCTACTGTGCCTGGTCGCAGCCCTGGGCTGAGACCTGAGATCAGGATGTTTCCGGAGTCTCCTGTGTGCCTTTGCCCTAAGTGGACCAGCGCGTGGAGATCTCCATATTTGAGACCCTATATCATTTCAACTTCTCAACTTTGTCAACGTTTCGCGGGCGTGGGTCGTTCATACGGCGTCCGACAGCCTACGACAGCCTGTTCCGCTAGAAGTCGCTGGCTTGCGGGATTGCACCTGACATCCCGGTTGCAGCGGCCGACTCGGCCGACCTGAACGTGTGCTTGCCGAAAAGTGAGCGCCTTGAGCCCCGGCGTTTGTCCCGAATGTAGGGGGGATTGGGAGGATCGTGGCGGCATCCTCCTCATGCACATCTCTGCACACCCTATCACAGTAGGTGCTGCTGAAGGCATTGCTTTCTCCGGTCATGTTGAAAGCTTGTCAGCATGTGCCCGCCCTCCAAATCTAAAGCATCCATGACTACTCCAACTTGCTGCTCGCAACCTGACACTTCAAAGCCCATGTATGCCCACAACTGGAACATGTTGACATCGTACAACATTGCAACAAATCAGCCATAAGTTACGCTGAAGTGTAGATACCATTTTCAGGTCTCTTCCTGACCTTGTGCATCTCTTCCTGACCAGGTGGAGGCTGCTTTGGATGGCTTCAAGAAGGATGCCAGCATGAAGAACTTCAGGATGGAGGCAGGGGATGTAACACACTGGAATAGCAACCGAAACGCAGGCCGAGCCGTACTACTTGGGTGTTTCTCCAATTTGGGAACCCTCTGAAAGTGGTTGGTTTCCTTTCGCTTTTTGTGACTGACCCATTTAGCGCTGAGTGTCTGCTTGCTCTGTTTGATCCTGCAAGGTCAAGAAGTTTATCAACACACGCTTTGGTCAAATATCCGCAACGTGGAGTCGGATCCAGGCACGAACTAGAGTTTGGGGATGGATGCACTGGCTGGAAGTCTGGAAGCTTTTCAGGAGTGTACCTCTGCTTTGTGTACATTTCTAGCCAAGTACTCGAAGGACGTCCTGTCTTTTGAAGGTTGGACCCCAGACCCCCCCCCCTAAAATGGCTTCGGTTCTCCTGTTGTTTCCCATATCAGTCGGCTTCTGAGCTGCGAGGAAGATGAGTCCAAGCGAGTGTTTGTTGAGTATGCCATGGCCTTCCGGTTGGTGGATGATGCGGAGGCAAGGAGCCGCCTGAGATGGGCATGGGTCATAATTCGTCACCACCTGAGATGGGGATTGAGCCACGATGAGCAACTGAGTTCATTGTTTGAAGAACTTGGAGGTTTTGCCCCCGCGGTCAAGAGCCAAGGCGGCCAATGTTGGAGCCATGCCCGGAAAGGGGAACAAATAATTTGAAGTGTTGCGGCGGCTTGATGGATTGGCTCAGATGTCAGGCTTTTCTGCCGCACTGGTTTGCAGGTCAGTGTGAGATCACAGCCACGAGCAGCCTGGTCAATTGCGGAGGCACGCGCGACGTTTCCAAGCTAGTCTCACAACATAAACAATCCAGTGACCCCTCCTGGGTGGTTTCTTGGTGGTTTCCATCCAAAACCAGACCACAAAACCAATAAGGGATCGTATTTTGAGAAGCTCTCAGAATACACTCTGAAATAGGTCAATCAGTCTCTTGCTTCATGCACTTGCCAGGTTGCTTGTCGCGTCTTCGACAAGTACCCTGGTGTACAGGACAGGGCAACAAGATGCAACATCCAGGTGCAGAACTGATTCGAAGCACAGTCAGAGGGCATTTGAGAGGGATGCGCATCAGGAGCTCTTCCGCGGTCTCATGTGTGGCTGACTTGGTTGTGTTGTGCAAGAGTAAAAGTTGAATCGACTTGGAGCTAGCTTGTCAAACTTGCTAGATCCCTTGTTCTTTTGATGGGAACTTGGCTTGCCAAGGCCGTGCATGCCCCTACTTGCGCGCTGAATCTTCAGCACAGGCCGTGTGCTTGGCATTGGCGCCGCTGCGCCGCTCGGTTGGCCAGGTACTGCAAGACATGGCACAGTGCAGACGACCACAGGAGGCGAGCAGCCTGCGCTGACCATGACGCCACGGCCTGCTCGCAAGGCTCTGAACGAGATGGTGGACAGAATGGTCAGCTATCAGCGACTGTGGCTGGCTATCGCTGCAATACAGGTGGCTTCGCACCGAGTCTCGTCTCAGATGTGCGTTCGTGTCAGGGGGAGCTCAGCATCATCTGGCACTGGCTTGCGTGTACTCTCAACCAAGCGCTCAAGTCTTAGCCCAGAGGTGACTGACAGGCTTTGGCAGAGCTGGCAGTAGTTTTGGCAATGTTGGGTCTAAGTCGGCGAGTCATAGGGGATGTCCAGAAGTGTATGGCGGGAAGTAGCCCTGTTAGAGTTACTGATGTTTGATGACACTGACATGCTTACTTACACGTCTCCAGAAGGTAATCAGAAAATGCACCTCGAAGCATACGCAGGATATACGAAGGTCATCATACGGGTGTCTGTGATAAAGCTTCGCAACTGCAGGCCTTCAACCACCCGGGTTGCAATGATCCACGCTGCCTTGGATATGGTTGGCGCAGATGCACAGGCATTTGTGTTGTACGTTTGCCTTGCTTGCATCCTGAGCTTGTTGCAGGCAAGATACAAGAAGCAGTTTGAGAAACTTGTGGCTTGCATCAGTGACAGATACATGGTGAGTAGCTTAGTCTGAACACTGCGCATAGGTGAGTTGCCGACTTGTGCACCTAGGCAGAGGTATCTTCTTTGCAGGCAAACGTCAAGGGCGAGGCCGGTCCAACGGTTTACTTCGCCCACAGCCTCCGTAATTGGATGAGCGCCCGTGAGATTTGGTTCAGCACGAAGAGCTCGAGCAGATCATGTTCTCACTTTCATGCTGTGATGCTAAATGCCAGGAAGCAGATCGCTTGCGAGCAAGCCACTCCAGATTGCCCTTGAGCTCAGGGTCCATGGCAGAACGGAAAACTGTTGCCGTATGTTTGTCTGAGGTCCAGATGGATTCAAGACTTCAAGTTGCGTGGGCGAGTCCTGCTCTCGGAAGCGGGTTGTTGCTAAATTAAAGAGATGCTTCGAGACTTCCTTTGCACAGGCCACATATCCTGATGGTCGTCATGTCCAGGCACGACAGGAGTCGGAGCTTCTCAGCAGAATTCGGCAGAAGCTTGGGCTCTTTTCGGAGGCATGGGGAGTCCCGTTTTCAAGTTCAACCTTTGAGTTCTATTTTGCCAGCTTCACGGGCTCAGGCAGCAAAGCACAATGTGAGGTTGTCAGACTTTGTTTGGGCTTGACACAAAACCAATCTTGATTGGTACTGGGCAGTTTTCATGGTGGCAGTCTTGCATGCCCGGTTTTGGGCCACTTGCTCATGTGTGCCCGCCAAGAACTACTTTGCGCTGAATTATTGTCGGAGTTAGTTTGCAGGCTAGCACTCGCCGAGCAAACTAAGGCTAAATCCCCACATCTGAGGGATAGAGCCACCATCAAACATGGCAGACTAAGCCAGTCCAGCCATGCGTGTACATACTCTCCGCGATGTGGAAGTGCGTATTCCTAGGCAGCTGCATGGGTATACAACAGGTTTCTAGCCCGGAATAGTGCTTGAACAAGAGCAACAGGCAGGAGCGATTTGCAATACTTGCTTCCTGTGCCGCATGATATTTGGGCTCACAGTTCAGACAAGTATCAGGTTGTTGCCAAATTGATGATATCCGACTGATCAATCAGTGCCAAGTGTGACACGGTGTTGTGTTTGTTGCTTATCGCGAAATGAGTTGGAGCGATGGGCATTGACGAACTTTCCGTTTTTTTTGTTTTTTAATCATGCCATGAGTAGATGGGCACATGTTGAAGGCCGACACGCTTCCAGGCGCCGCTGGTTTCACTTCCTTAGCCAGCGAGGAAGGGAAACCAACGGGAAACCCACTGTTGCACTTAGTTCGAACATCGCCGAAAGGTCGCGGAGGACACACAGCTGGCTTCCAGGGAGATGGCTGCACACGAAAGAGCTAGCCGTTGCTCAGCTCACATTTGATGAGGGTTCTTTTTTTGCGTTTGGGCAATGATTTTGCCTGCAGGTTCTTTCGTGCTGCTGGGGATTCAGTACAGCCGAAGCGCTGGTTGACTGCTCCAGGACTTGTCCCAAACCCTCGCTGGCTCATCCTTTCCGCCACAAAGGCCTTTGTGGACAAATGGGGGTTGCTTAAAATACAGGACTGAAACAAAGGGCTTTCATTTAGATCCACCCAAACACCGGGTTCATGTTAACACAAAGCAAAGTCTCAGGAGCCCCAATTGCACTGCACTGCGGCGGCAGCAGCCGGCTCAGAGTGGCACGGAACTGCACAAGCGCCCCAAGCCCACACAACTGCAGTACGTTGCAAGCATAAAGGTTAATGCATAGCGAGTTGTTGATTGACTCGGCTATGACCAAGAAGCTTGTTTGGAAGCCAAACAAGTTGTTTTTGATCCCTCACCAGCTCAGAGCCAGTCGAGTGATTTGTTTGATGCTCCTGCAGGCCATGCTCAGAGAGGGGCTCGATTGCAAATGCGTGCCGTGGTCTTACAACGGGCAGTTTCATATTCCACTCTTTTTTCACCCCAGGTGGTCACTGTCTCCCTGGCACGCAGGGAGGCTGGATGCTCGAATTCATGTTCATCACATGGAGGTGGCGTGAACTCAACCAAAACAGTGCTCTGCTGGGAGTTTAAAACGTGAGCAGCGCCCAACACCCTCATTTAGTAGGTGGTTCTATTATAGAGCTTACTCACCATCTTAGTAACAACAAACCGTCAATGGGTTTTGTTCACTCACGTGAAATTGCATCAGGCGACGGGCCAATGAACACAGGCGCAGTTGCGAAATCGCCCTCGTTTTTTCTTTTTTTTCCGTCCTTGCCCAGTTTGCCTCTCAAAGACGGCGTGTTCGGCCATCTATCCCGGAGAGGAGTCCAGCGCGAGTCGGAGAGTGGCGACTGTATTCCGATGTGTTCGGGGTTCAGCTCTAGGCGAGCCGAGCAACTTGATTTGTTTGTTCGGAACGCTCAAGGGCTTCAAGAAATTGTTGCAAAGCACTTGGTGATTCTTAAGATAAAAACAAAACAACAAAAACTCTGAAAACTCTGAAGACCATGACTCTGCAAAGACTGCCAGGACACTTGTAACTTTGCGGCCAGTAACGGAGTGGGCGTTCCATTCCCGGTCCCTTTCGGCAGGCGTGATCTGGTTGACGTCATATGAGTCGTTGTTGCCTCGGAAGGTGCGTTTGTGATGATGGATCAGGGAGATTCTGGCCGACTGCACCTGGCAAGTGTGCCACTTACTCGTTTCTGGCCTTTCGCTGAAGGCCAACTGCAAACAGACTTGGCTTCAGGTGCGCACGAGTGGTTATCAAGTTTGCAGCTGGCATTGGCGAATACGAGGACTCCGCAGCTTCTTGCTTGGAATCCGAGCTTTGGCATTTCTCTTGGCACTCGAAGGTTCAACAGTGCTCGCGCGGGTGCGATGATGCCGCGACCTTTGTCTGCCTTTTTGATTGGATGAGATTGGCAGAGGCCACATGCGCGCCCCTCGCTTTATGGCCACCAGCCTGAAGCTCAGCCACAGCGCGGATGTTTGCAGAACTTCGCTGCCGCAGAACATCTCCCAGAGCCATTACAACGACGTCCTTTTCCAGTGCAAGCTTGCAGGCCTGGAGATGGAATGCTTAGATGGAAGATCCCGAGTTGGAGAAGTCCAGAGCAAGAGAAGCCAAGATTTGTCCACCGTCAAAGGCATTCAAGTTCGGGAATAGGTAACGATCACGATGTTGATGGTGGTCCTGGTGCTGATGCTGTTGCTGTTGCAGAGTGCTGGTTGTTGCTGCCATCATCATGACAATGGGACTGTCCCGTGGCCATCCTTTCATCAGTTATTGCCCAACGTTGCCGAAAGCTTACTTCTTGGACAAGTCTCCGAACAACTTGGAATAGCAGGATATCTAAACGCAGACGTGATGCCGGGCGCATCAGATGAATTCAGCTCAATGCCCGTGGCTTTGCACACACACACACACACATCAGTGTCGTTACAGGGGAAGATTCAGTGCAGCTGCTCGACAACTGTGACGATGTCACCAGACTTACTGGCTGATTTTGCTTAAAGCCAGCGTTGTCATGCGCATTGCTTTTTTTGTTAATGCAGCGCTGCCAGGCCAGCTCACTCCCTCGTCCTTTTGCGGTCATACAGGATTCACGGCAACAAGTTCAATCTATGATGCCTTAGGCTGGGCTCGCTACGCTCATGGCTTTCCTGGTTTCAATTTGGTCATCTTGGGCAAATTGTGGTATGCAATAGCACTTGTCACTAGCACTTCCTCAGCTTGATCGGAAGTCGATCACAGACGCTAGGTGACCTGCCTGTTGATTGCGAACTTGCACCACGTTGTCCTGCGAGTGTGTTGGAGACAACCCGGTGCGGAGCTTGGCGTGTCCAACACTTTTTGAGCTGGCGGCCAATAAGATGTGTCAAGCAACAATCCGTCAATCTGAATGCCAGAATGGGATATTTCAAGAAATAGCCACCACGTACGTCATGTTTGTGTGGTCTCAGGTTGGAGCAATCCTGCTGTTTCGGCACTCCTTGGCAACGAGCCAAGACGCCGACTAATCCAGCGTCAGGATTCTGTTCGCCAGCTACTCTGAGGTCAATGAAGCTCGACTCTTTGGGGCAGGCGCGCCAATGCCATAAGGGTCATTCGGTCAACGTGTTAATCCGACCGGAAAATGGTGGCAGTCCAACACATACGAGGATACTTTGTTGGCACTTGTCTGGCTTGACCGTTGTGCCTAAGACATGCTTTCATTGCTTATTCTTGCCTTCCTGCAGGAGCTGGATCAATCAGCCTCTGGATTCTGCCAAATGGTCATGCAGGCCCAGCGCCATCGCATATGAATTTGGAGCCATTGTTTCTCCTTTTCCCTTTCTGGTTCCGCTCATTTTCTTCTTTGCTTCTCATTCTTTTGCTGCTGCTTCTTCTTTTGCTCAATCTTTTAGCTTCCCGTGACTGGGATGCCTTATATAGCGCTTGCCGAATTTGTTTACATGCCTCTCCCGGCGCTCTTTTTTTGGGACTCCCACGTGCGCTGGTAAATGAATTAATGAATTGCGTGCCACTACAGGCTCTTCGCCGCAGCAGTATGCCCCCCATTGTCAGGGAAGTTATGCATTGTTCTTACGCCGCCACGCCCGTGACATGTCCGATACCATGTCCTGTAAGTGCGAGTGCGACGCGGAAAGAAAAGAGCTGTCTTTGGAAGAAATAGAGTGACGCCGTCAGAAGGTTGCTTGATCAGCTCGAACCTGCGCTCGGATTTGGTGAATGGCGTCCTGCGACGCTCAGCAGCTCCGTGCAGGACGATCTGAGAGCTTTCGGCTTCCGGAAGACGAGAAGCTGCGACTGGGTAAGCTGCCCACGGCGAGCCGCGCGAGTAGGCAACCCTGAGAAACAAATCCATCGGCAACTGCTTCGAGTGGATTATTGATACACGGGCCTATGATTTGTAAGGTATTGATTGTTAATAGCTGGCTGAAACACCTGCAGCATGATGTACTTGTCTGTAGTGCTCACCTGCAGCTTTTTCTCAGTGGTCGCCATGTCTTTTTGCAAGTACCGTCCGGCTTTTGTCTTGTTGAAGTTCTGATATTTCCCTGCGGCTTGCTTCCTTATGTGACCTTGCTTCCCGCTGCCATGCTTGTTCAGCAGAATCCAGTTTTGCTGATATGAGTCTTGTTTGCGAGCTGACGCAGGCAGACCTGAATGAGAGCAACTCAAGTGTCACGAGCTCTTTTGACTGTTTGGCTCGGTGCCAAGCTTCTCACGCATTTGCCTAGCGTCTTTTAGGCCGTCACAATGTTTGTGTTGGAGTTGAACCAGGTGAAAACCTCAGCGCCTGGATGGTCGGGCTGTGCCTGCCTGGACACCAGCTGAGTTCAGTGGTGGCAGTGTGGAAGTATCGTACTTTGGATTCGACCGAGCCTTCCCAGGATAGCTCGGGCTTCCTCCAAGCCGGACGCACTTGCACCGTCAAGCAGTGGGCTAAGCGGCGCACAAGGCATGACAAGAAGTCCTCATGCTATTGTATGTTTCATTTTGGCCAAAGATCAGCCTAATCCAAAAAGTGGGCCTAAGGTGTGAGCAGCCAGATTGCAACTTGCCAGAGGTGCGGCTGCCATCATGCACTCATGGGGATGACTTGATGGGAGAGTAGAGCCAAAAAATGGATGGAGGAAAACAACAAGTATGCATATAGCACATATATATATATATATACATATTGATAGAAAGCACAAGAGAGAGAGAGAGAGAGAGAGAGAGAGAGAGAGAGAGAGATGCCCAGGATGGCATACGGCCAGTGCCCACCGGCTGGCTGAGTTCTGAGGCACTTCGAGTCAGAAAACGTTGGTATTTCGCTCAGCTTGTGTTGCGCAGGTGGATCCCTCCTTGCTAGTTGACCATGGCAAGTTGGTCCTCACCTTAGTCGGCCATTCAGCTTCCAGAGTCACGCCCCTCAGCTTGACTTCGTGAGTGCCAGCCCACTTTGACAAAATTCCCGCTGCTTCAAATGTGTGCATGGGGTCGATGTCTGACAACTTTTGAACATGTGTTCCTGATCCCCTTTTGTAGTGTCCGAAGGATGCGATAGGCAGACTTTGCGTGTTTGTTTCCAAGGTCTCCTCAGCAGCGAACCACAGGCGCCCGACTAGCGAAGAAATGTGTTATTGGAGGCTTTGGAAGCATTCCTAGCTGGCAGCAAATTGGCGCTCATGTCAAGACAGTCCACAGGCATTTATGGCCATTGCTTTTGCCAGCAGCTGAGACAGGTCACCAGCCCCCCAACTTGCGTTGCCGCGGCAGTTGGCTTGTCAAAAGCTGCAGCAAGGCTCATCCTCACGGCAGAGCGTCTCGCCAGAGTCGCCTGAGCGCAAAACCATGATTGAAAGTGCCAGGTTTCACAGCATGCATGCGTCAACATGTTTGTCTTGCTAAGCAAGACGTGAGCGATATGATCTCGCAGACCAAAATGGCAGAGTGACTGGGTGACATTCTTCAATTCCAGAAACTCCTGAATCCGAGCCTCTACCTCCTGAGTCCGAGGTTCGTCCGTGCCGGACGTCCACCGATTTGCAAAGTACTAGTGATTCATGAAACTACGATTCAGAAACTATTAGAGTGCACACGCTCAGCGTTGCATACATGCCTGTCAAATGAAAAGCCCAGCCGTGCCTGCCAAAATAGTAACGCGCCAGACAAGCGGACCGCCGTCTCTCAAATTGTTTTGGCTTGCTGTAGCTAAATCCGCAGTGCGCCTCTTGCGCGTGCTTTTGACAGAAAGCGTCGGCCCATGGAAAATGGAGTTGCAGGTCATTCTTATTTTCTAGGGCCCCCCTAACAAGAGTTGTTAGGCTCCCTTGGGCTCTGCCAGCCCAGGAAACTTGGATAGATACGTTGGTTGTTGAAATGGCTTTAGCTCGTTTCCCTGCAGTAGATATCGCTTCTGGCTAAGATTTTGTTTGCTTGTTGCCTGTACACCGGCGACGCGTTTTGAGTCGGCTTTCAAAACTGGGCTGTGGAAAAGGTTGATCTGCCATGATAAGCCTTACCCAAGGTTGAGGTCAACAGGAGTCCATCCCCGATATTTGGAATCCCAGAACTGAAGAGAAGCAACCGTTTCGAACACTTCCTGGTCTGCGCGCATTCCCTGTGCCAGGGATGCTCAAGTCGAACCATTGCTTTGCTTGTTCAGCTGGCCAGAAATGTTTGCATGTTTGTGGCGGAGGCGCGGCTTGCGTTATGATGCGTGGCATGTATGCCTGTACGCCGCAGATTTGTGGAGCACTTGAAGAGCTCCAATGAAACCATGAGAGGTTGTTATCACACTTTCCCTCCAACATCATGATTTAATGCAAAAAGGACACTTGAAAACCACGTACTGTAGATACATACTCGTACACTAATCATTCCACAGCTGTTTGGTATCGTTAGGAATGTAGTGCGTGCATCCAAGCGGCACGATGATATCATGCCTTACCTCTGGCTATGTCAAAGTCTACGAAAGATTCTATCCAACAGCGGGTCTGTCAGCCAATCGTCAATCGTGGATTAGACAGCTTGCGAAGAATCAAGTTCTTCAGCGCTTTGAAAGAACCATGCTTGAGGATGATCGCTGCCAAACTGCAAGTATGCTTCCTTGCTCCGGAAGAAGTACTGGCGCGCGAGGGCGAGCGTGTTGATCGTGTTTGGTTCATGGGCAAGGGCACAGCAGATGCCGTGATTCTGGGGAAGAAGGTGGAGACGTATTTTGATGGTGCCGTTATTGGCCCACCCCTGGGCCTTTTAATGGAGCATAATTGGGACCAGACAGTGACAACGACTGCCTTTTCTGATTTTATGGTTCTGACCTGTGAGGACTTGCAAAGCTTTTTCTCAAACCATGAGTCGGAGGCCAGCAGAGTCCATGCAGCAGCCTTTCGTGTGCAGGTTGCGCAGAAGGCAAAGACGTGCAAACCAAAGCCGTTGAAAGGTGAGGCACACAAGCCTCAGCGCATCGAGCGCCACAAGCCGCCAGATGCTGCCAAGAAACTTGACTTGAAATGAGCGCCCCGATTTCCATTGGCCAGGTAGGTGGTTCTTCTATTTGGTTTTACAACGGTTGCAAGGCATAGACTATAAGCCTTTAAAAGCAACCAAACGAGCTATCAACATTTAAACCTCGACCCCCCCCATATGCCCGTGTCCAAGAGCTGAGGAAACCTGTGGATGCTGGCGTGCCACATTTTCCTGTGGCCCCAGACCAAAGTTTCGCAGAGGAGTCTGAGGTTACACAGAATGTTATAGCATCATGGCTGGACGAGATCGAGTTTTTCTCTGGCTTCGATGTCTTCAGCCTGGAAAGGTTGCTGGCCTTGGTGCAGAGGCAGGTCTACAAGCAAGGCCAAAACATTTTGACCCAGGGAGAATTTGCCGACGCCTTGCACGTGATATATGCTGGCAACGCGGACGTTGCTGTTCGGGAGAAGGTGGTTGCCACACTGGGGCCCAAGAGCATCGTCGGGGAGCGGTCGATTTGTGTCCTCGGCGACAATGTTATGCCGTGTGCAGCAACGATCTCGCCTGCTACCAGCCTGGTGATTACATACTCCTGGCTTCGCTCCGACCTGCTGGACCTTTTCATTCAAGATGACAGGATCTATGAGTACTTCAAGAAGAGATTTGATATTCAGCGGATTAAGCAAGGAGAATCCAGTTTTCGGAACATCAATATCTTCCAGAAGGCTCGTCCTGAGTTTGTGCACATGCTCGAGTCGCGGGTCTCGCAGCGCATTCTCGAGCCAGAGGACCTGCTCTTTGAGCAAGGCAAGCCAAATCCTGATGCTTTGCTTTTATGTGAGGGCCAGGTCAGCATTCTCAAAGACGGGACCGCGCACGCACTTGTGGAGGTGTCCAAGATCGACGATGCCGTCCTCTTCGGGGAATTCAATGTGCTCGGCCTGTGGCGAGCTCCAAAGGCGACCGTGCGGGCCGTTTCGCGCTGCGTGCTGAAGGTTCTGATTTCGGAGGTCCTGCAGCAGTGCTTCGTGGCGTTCCCGGACGAGTCCAACGTCTTCAGGCAGCTGGTGGAGAAGCGCCTGCGCCGCGACGCAAGCAAGGAGGTGTCCTGGACTGTGCAGAAGGAGGAAAAGCCGGAGGAGTTTCTGGACAATGAGTTCCGTGAGCCTCTCGGCCAGAAAGGGATGCATTTCATGGTAAAGACCACGCAAAGACCACACACACACACCACTCATTGGACTCTGAACCAACTTAATCCATCTCCATTGTCTGGCCGCGCATGCCTTTGCATCTAAGGTTGCCGCGTTTCTACGTCAGACAGTTCACCAAGGATTACGACACAATCGTTCTGCCTCGGGATCTTTCTGCAGTCAAGGAGTTCTCCAATCTGCCGAGGGAGCCCTTGACGGAGCTGGCCGGATTCATGAAGCCGCGGATCTACCTGCCTCAACAGGTCATCCTGCAACAGGGAGAGGACCTGTCAGAGATCTTGGTGCTGCAATGGGGCGCCTGCTCCGTTGAAGTCTTCGGTGCGGATTTGCAGCCCATGGAAGGCCCCTCCATTGTGGGAGGCATGTCTTCGCTGATGACCAAGAAGGTGTTTACCACCATTACGGCAGAAGAGACCTGTTTTGTGGGGGCCATCCCGAAGCATCGCTTTGCAGCAGTTCTGGACAAGTATCCAGACTTCAGACGCAGCTTGCTGCTCCAAACCAGCACATCCTTCAAGCGACTTTGTGATGACTTTCAAGAGCAGATGCTGAAGACGGGAGCTCTACGGAGCCAGCTGTTGAAGATGCCTTTTCTGTCAGATGCTTGTCCGGACTTCATTTCTCAGCTGGCATCAAGCCTGGAGCCGCGCTTGCTTTTGCCGGGCCAGTCCATTCTGCGCGCCCCGGATGAGGAGCCGAAGCTGTACTTTGTCTTTGACGGGCATCTGCACGTCATGAAGAACGGGTGCCTGGTGTGCGCGTTGCCCTCCAGGTCGGTCTCGGGAGTGCTGGACGTTTTCGGGCTGGATACAGGTGACCAGACTCAGATCAAGACCGATGAGATCTGCAAGGTGGGCACTGTGGTGCGGAAGGGTGCCCCAGACGCATGTTTCTGTTAGGGGGATTCCTGTTAAAAAAATGGAACATGGGTGCCAACCTTTTTTCCCCACCCGGCTTCTGAGGTCTCTTCGGTTTGCTGGAGAAATTCCCGCAGGAAAGGGAGAAATTTGAGCAGCTTCTGCATGGGCTGCTGGAAGATCAGGTCAGCCAGCGCCTGCTCAGGCATCCCATATTCAAGGGGATGCCCTCGCAGTTTCTGAAACGCCTGGGCCTCCTTTTTGAGCGGAAGCTGGTGCATCCAAGAACAACCATGTTGCAAGAGGGAGAAAGTGGTGCAACAATGGTAGTTATCAATGTCGGCAAGGCAGACATCATTTTTCGAGGTCTTCTGGTGAGCATGCTTTGGTCTGGGAAGTCCTTTGGTGGTGCTCAAATGATGGGCGCGCAACGCCAGTATCATGCAACTTTGCGCACAAAAGGGATGTGCCATGTTTTACTACTCAGCCATGAACGGTTCTGCACCTTGACTCCACCAGGTCCGAAACGTCCGTGGGTGGCTGCCTTGCGTCTCAGGGCCAAAAGCGCTCATCAGCAAGAGCTGAAACTCTTTCGTCAGAAGTACATGCAGCATCGGATGCTGGACCAGACTGGAGTAACCACCGCGGCCGTGACGTCGGCGATGTATGGCATGCTGGTTCTGCAACAGGCCTTGAAAGCGTGGCACCGGATAGTTTCCGGTGAAACCTGTTCCGAAGGAAGTTGCAGTCCCATTCCAAGCCGGCGGAGTTCTGTGAAGGAGGAGACAAAGGTGGAGGATAGGGTGGTGCCGGCACCTCCGCTTCCCCCACCCCCTACATACCCCCTTCTTTTTAGCCGAGCCTTACGGCCCATCCGACTTGTATGTGTGATGCCAGGCAAGAAGCACTAGGTCCGTTTTCTGAAACATATCACATTTGTCCCTGCAGCACAGGCTTTACTTGCTTGGCAAAGTCAAGCTAAGCGGCCGCAGAAACACTTAGTTAACGTGTTGACGTTGTGACAGCTAATGTCGCTGTATTTCACAACGTTTTTTGGTGATGAATTGAGTTGTGAGCACGTTGCTTGAGAGAACAGCTTTCAAGCCGATGTACATATGAGGTCACAGATGGGGGATGATGACTGACGAACGGGTTGAGGCCACTCGTACTGATAGTGAGCTGCAAGGCTGCTATGTTGCATCCCTTCAGTAGCCTTTATGACGCCGGAAGAGGTGGCGAATGTCCAGGAAAAATAATTGGAATTGCTTGCCGCTTGGTCGGTTGAGATGGGGAAAGAAGCTGCGCTGCACCTTCCCAGCTCTTACGGCAGAGACGAAAAAGCCAGATTGAAGCCCAGCATGGATGTGCAATCAGGCCTTTTCCAGTTGCCTAAACCTTCAGACATGGACATGCATAATGATTGCCCTTCCCTAGAAATAGTCAACGAGCAAAACGCTGGACATGCACTGGCAGTGTGCTGGTGCATGCCATGAGCATTGAGCATGCACCTTGCAGGACGTAAGGGTTGCTTGCTGCAACTTCATGAGACTCTGAGAGCTCCTGTCACACTCGTAGTTGCCTCAGCCAGTTTTTAGGTCTTTTGTTTTGCCACATGTTCTTCATGTCTTGTTTGTTTTGCATGAACATATCCATGGCCTTTGCGACGCTTCTTACGTTTGTAACATTTTCAGCGGGTGTTCTTTTTGTTGTCTTTGGCAATCTGCAAGAGAGGTATCGTGGATTCCATCGACGTGCGCTGCTTTTGCAGGACATACACACTGGCCGGAAAGACGTCTAGTATCAACTTCAAGTTGCCTGGAAAGCTCCGCCGGCTTGTTCTATGCCACATCAAGTGAGGGTTGCAAGCCTTGGCATACTCACATTTGTCAATTCTGGCCTTTGAGGTTCCATCAAAATGTCCTGCCAGAGTTTCCAGTAGTCTATGGAGTCCATTTGGGTACTCTTGTAGAAACACCAACGTAGTTTCGACCGTGACTCATGGCAGTTGGCGGCCTCTTCAGCTGCTCGGCTCCGGGTCCTATGCAAATGCTGCGCTCCCAGAGCATTTCTCGAGTCTCTGGAATACCTTTGGGAAGCCGACAAATTCCCATGGGCTTTGTTAGGCTGTGGGGACCCCTTCCACGTCTTCCAACAGAGAGTCGAAACTAAACCGACATGGGTTGTGAGCGCTGCACAAGCAATGTCAGTGAGCATTGCATGCCATCTTGTAGGCATAGCAGGAGTCCGCTTTATGCATCAACATGTTAAAGTGCTTGGATCATCCCTTGTGCACTCCGGCCTTTCAGAGGTGGCAGCATTTGAGAAGGACGGCAAGGATATTGCCGTGAAAAAGGCAAGGATCCTGTTTGTGATGGCTCGAGAGATCTGATGCCGAGGTTGAGCGGGTGTTTGAGCATCCAGTTTTAACTTTGCGGACCTTGCGTGAGGCCTTCAAGTTCTTGTGACCGTGTGAGCAGAGAAAGCATTTGCTCAAGCCTTAGCAACACGCCCTTCTGGTGCTTTTACAGGTCCGGCTTTTGGCTCATCTGCAGCACCCCAATGTCCTCCTCCTCAAGGAGCTTTTCCTGGATGGGCCGGATTTTCAGGAGCCTTTCTTGCTCTCAGAGCTTGAAGCGCTTGACATCTTGCGACCGAGCCAGGACGTGTACTTATGCCTGGAGAGGCCCGAGCCGCACGCTTTGCTCGCGCTCTTGGTTTCTGCTTTTCCCGTTGCCGTCCCTTGGAGGATGGATGGCGACCTGCATCAGCTGATCCATGGCAGCAAGCAGTACCTCAGCGATCGCCAGGCGACAGACCCTGTTTTGAGGGGGCGCGTGAAAGCCTGGCAGTTCGCAGAATTCTTGGGTTCGTGGTTTCCTTCATGGTCCAAGTGCGGGGGCACTGATTCTTCATGGGGAATCACTTCAAGTGGACTTCCGTGTCTGTGAGAATTCACCATGGGACAGACTCGATGCAGGTTCCTTGTCTTGCAAAACAAAGGCGTAGCTGGGCAATCCCTTTCGCAGGAAGGATCCGACCCAACTTTGGTGTTTGTTTTGCTTGAGCAGGTATCGAGTTGTTGGTCTTAGGCAGCAAGGGTTTCTTTTAAGTTTCAGAACTTTTCCGACGCAGGAGTTGTATCCATAAGTGCTCCACGCATGGATGTGTCGAGCCTAGGGTGTGCACATACAGATGTAATGACATTGCGAAACCGTTTTCCCTGCAGCCTGGCAGGTATGAACCACCATTGCCTTTGATTGATGCCACCACATGCCTTCGTTTTTTTGGCCAGCTGCACAACAGATAGTGAACACGTCAAGCTTGCGCTCCTGCGGAGGTTCAGTGCGCCTGCTCCTCGGCGCATGCAGCTGCGTGTTTCATGAGTTTGATGCACCAGACAAGGTGCTTTACCAAATGATGAGGGGCTTGCTATGTCTCAGATGTGCTCACGTGATCCATCGGGTCCTGGCCTCTAGCAGATGGCACATTGGGGATGCAGCGCTGCCCCAGGACCTCAAGCCCGGCAACGTGCTTGTGCGGGCCGGCGGAGAGGCCAAGGGTTGGATCGCTGCAAGACCCGGGTGTGAGTTTAGAAGGCGGACGTTTGGACATCGGAATTTGATGGGGATTCAGGCCCACCACAAAAGGAGGTGGTTCCATGGCAGACACAGAATAATGGCGTGTGGTTGCTGCAGTGTGCTCAAAACAAGCATCAGCCTGCATTGGCAGCCAATTTAAAAGGAAGCCAACAGGACAACCACAGTTTTCGAGCACTATGGGGGAGACACCCATTTCGCTGTTGGAGCCAAGCTCATATTACAGGATTCTCAGCTCACGCATTGTTTTCGTCGACTGGTATTTGGCTCAGATGACGGGCACATGCGATCGCAGGTTAAGATCGGTGATTTGGGCATGGCTCGAGGGATCGATGCGGACGAGGACATCAATACTTTTGCCACTTCTCACAACATGCTTCAGGAGTTTCATGGGGTGAAACTCCGTCAACCGTTTTTGAAAACAGGATCCATCTCTGCATGGAAGTGCTGGCTCGATCTTGCAGTCTGGTGTTTGAAGGATGGCCATGATGAGATGATGCTGACCGAGTATGTAGTGACTCGTCACTATCGCGCCCCTGAGGCGCGTGGCTTCCCTTTTTTCTGACTGATTCTGCGCTGCAGTGCAAGGTGGTTCTGACGGCATGCAAGTACACCTATGCTCAGTCCCTACATGGCTCTGAGAGAGATACAGAGAGAGAGAGAGAGAGAGAGAGAATGAGAAAGAAAGAGTGAGAGAGAGGGCTAGAAAGAAAGAAAGGTGGACTCCGCATGGTATTCAGCACACCATGCAGTGGACAAGCTCTAGGGCAAGCTGCAAAACAAGTTAGCCTGAGGCTGTTGACATGTGGTCAGCAGGCTGCATTCTCGGAGAGATGTTGATGCGAAGGCCATGTCCGGGTCAAACAAATCATGCCTCTAATTTGGTATGTTTGATAGGCCTGTCTTTGAGGGCAAAGATTCCTTGGACCAGGTCAAGCTGGGACCTTGGTTTTGCAATCACAGACCAAGATTAGCGCAACATCTTTGACGTTGCATGGACCTGGATGGCCAAGGAAAATCATAGGTGTTTTGGGCTGGCAGACTGAGGAGGCGAACCAAGCATGTATGTTCTGCCAACAGATTCAGATGTTCCATGGACATGAAAAGAAGACATGCAGCAATTAGCAGCCGCATCCCTTTTTTCTGCCTTTGTTTTGCAGTTCACGCGCAGGATTTGGCTTGGATTCCTCCATCAAGCTCAGCGTTAAAGTTTGTGCAACAGTGCCATAGGCCCAGCCTGGAGAGGTCCAACTACGGACGTTTGACAGCCACCGTAAGAGTCCCAAAAGCATGGAGTCTTGACCACTGCTCATGTGAATCTGGCTGTACAAGTGAGGCAACAAGTCTGCGCCTGCCGTGGACAAGGCCTTGGACTTGTTTGGTGTCCGCCTTGTCAATCCATGAAAAAACCAGGGCCTGCTGAACTTGGTGAAGAGATCACCTCCGGCGAGCCCGCTGGCTGTCGACATGCTGGCCAGATCTCTTAGCCTTTTTCAGGCTTGAGGCAACAGATGGCAAGACCTCAAATCTGGAGACCTTGAGGTTAACATACTCCAGTTCGATCCTTCAAGGCCTTCACACTCTTTTCAACGTGCTGAAGGGAATTGATACGTGTCGCAGGCGCCTCACCATTGAGGATGCCTTGGAACACAGCGCGAGTCCCAGCAGGGAAGTCAGCCTAGGCGGCATAGCTGGCATGGGCAGGGAATGGATCAATGCGACCACTCAAGGTTATGTGTCCGACTTCAATGGCAGTGAGGATGCTGAGGCACGTGCTGAAAGTTTGCTTCCGAAGAATTTGGGCTGATGCAGGTGGCAGCAGCAAAGTCCATTCCTCAAATGGTCGCCGCCTCAGCCAAGCTTTTTGAAGCTTTGTCCCAAGAAACGTGCCGCAAGGATTGGACCTTTGACACTGCCCTGTGTTTTGATCGGCAAACTGGACAGCCGAAGCGCTTTGAGGCAGGCATCGCGCAAAGATCGGCAATGCTGGACAGATTTTGGTTTGTGAAAAAAACCCTGTTTGTGCGACCACTTCCCAACCTGTTATTTGGATCGAACAAAGGAGGTAGGGGACTAGGGGAGAGGGAAAAACACGTGGCCCCCTTGGTTTCCGCCAACTTCGCTGCGCGAGGCACAGGAGTTCCGCCAGGCCTTTGTCGAAGCCCGCGATCGCTTGGAGGCGGAAGTCAGCGTTTGGAGGCACTGAGCTGATGCTTGGAGAGGCTTGACAGCTGGACAGCCGGACAGCCTGACCTTCACTCTGTGGTGTTGGCGTTCGCCTCCAATTGTTTGACATGGTCAATCTGCAGCAGATGATCAGCTTGGTGTACAAAGTTGTCAAACATTGTTAATGGTTAGAAGCACCGATGGGAGGGGCAACTGCGCGAACCTTGTCTTCTCGCGTCTAGCCATTACTTGCATTGTTGCATAAATCACGTGATGTTGGCTAAAATGTTCCTCCCGGAGATATCTTTCGCGTGCTTTCTGTTCCTACACAAGGGAACTTGATTTTGCAGGAAACTGCTCTTTAGTGGATGGGATCGGACGAGAATAGATTCCTTGGGCATTCGTTCCTTGCGAGCATGTGGCAGAGCCGGCTGAGTCGCTTGCAAAGCCTGTTCTCATTTGGGTGTGTGTTTTGCTGGGTACTTTTTTTTTTTTTTTTTTTTTTTTTTTTTTTAAATAAAAATAAAAATATATATATTTTTTTTTTTTAACCCTTTTCCCTTGGCTTAAAGCGGCATCACAAGAGCAAACACAAACTGTGGTCACCCTATATTGGCACATGCCCTTGTGCTATGGGGGCGGGGACTTTTGGGTCATGAAACATGTGATGATTGGTACGATGCCTCAGAGCCAGTGGCTTTTGACTGCGCGGGTCTGATAATTTCATCTTGCTTCATTGGTTTGTGCCGAGCTGCAGGCATTTGAGCCTGAAGCGAACGGTCAGTGGCTTTGAGTCAAAAACGGAAACACAACAATTGAATGGAAGGTATATGTTTCTACATTGTGGACGACACTATTCGTAAAACAATACGCAGAAGAGCTACAGGGGACACATCAAGCACATGCGCGTCGGCACGCGCTGCCATGAGCATCCCTGCTGCATCGAGTTGCTTTAAGCTGTTTTCTGCTTCACTGATGCAGAAAGAGCGTGTAAGAGGCATTGGTCTGAATATTTGAACCTCAGGCTTCGCACGGTTTTTCCTTGCCGTTTCGTGCAGTGTACTTGGCCTCAAGGACCAGATGCTTCTCCACCAGCTTGCGACTTACGCGGGATGAAATTCTCGTTCATTGGTAAGCGGTCGCAGAAGGCAACAAGAAAGAATCCTGAGGATGTGATTGTGCGGCCCGGGACTGTTGTGCAGGTGCAGCTGGGCAGAGAAAGCATGTTGGGGGGGAAGGCAGTGAGAGTTGCAAGGTGCTTCCTGGTCGACAATTTCCCGCGTTCTCAGCTGGAGATATGGGTGTGGTGAAGCGGGTCGACACAGAGGACAGACTGGCACCAATGTTGGAATTGTGCGTGTATGTTTTGCTCGACAGGGACGAACGTGCGACGTGCTGTTCGACCACAACATCGTCCTCGCCCGAGCAGGGGCCAGTGTTTTAGCTCAAGCAGCTGATTGCATGGACCAATCTGGCCCTGGTGGTCTTAACACAATGAATAATACTCGCATTCCACTCACCCACCGACCCAGCCACCCAGCCACCCAGCCACCCACCCACCCACCCAGCCGCACGCCCTCCCGCCCTCCCGCCCGCATCCGCACACACACACACAGGCTGCTGGGCCCTTGCCGGTTGCAACTCGCCACCTGGGGCTCGTGAATCAGGAGGGTTGCTTTTGACAAATCCAATCACCGACAATGTGTTTCTTCGGCTTGCACAGGACATCTCCGTGGAAGCAAGCGACGGGCATGCCAGGCAGTAGCTCCTCGTTTCCGCTGAGTGCGCGAAATTGCATATGCCTGCAGATAGCATTGTGTTTCTATGCCACACGTGACACACATTGTCGCTTTGCAGGCGGATGTCTGACCGGAGCCGCGCGCTTGAGAGCTTGGGCGCCAGCAGCTCAGCAGCTCAGCAGCTCAGCAGCTCAGCAGCTCAGCTCAGCTCGGTGCTGTGGAGCTCACTGGGAGGCCATGAGCTGCTCTCCCAATGATGTCCTCGAGGAGCGACGCGAACCAGTGTGTCAAATTGGGACCCCCAAAGGTAGATTGCGGTTCTTTGGGTTTCCCTTAGCAGCCTGGAGAAGCTGGGGATGGGAGAGCGGTATGCGATTTCAGGCACAGTTGGCTTCCCAGCAGTACACGCTGAACTCCTTCGAGGCCAAAGAGCCGAGAGTTGATACGATCGGCCCTTCGGCTGAATCCAGGCGAGACTTGCAGCCTGTGAGGCTGGCAGCTCTTGAGCGCAAAGTCCGAAGAATTCCAAGTGCAAGATGAACTTGGCTTTCAGTTTTGCGGCTCGCCCTGAAAAATGGTTGGACATAAAGCTCCTGAATGTCCTCCAACGTGTTCCCTGATGAAAGCTTGTACCCTACCGACATTTGCAGGCGGCGCTCGGCGGAGATAACGGCAAATCGGGCCGCCTGGTTGCCGCCCGTGTGGCTGCGCTTGAAGCAGCTCATCAGGCAGAAGCCAACGAGCTTAAGCGAGCTGCCTGGATGCATGTGATGCGCTTGTTTGTTTTAATTTCCGGCAGATTCCCAAAGCTTGGCCTGTCACACCAAGCTTGGGAGCGCAGCCTGAGGCTTTGAACGAAGCAGTCAGTGTCAGTCGCGAGCAAGAGACCTTGCACAGAAAGCACCGGAACACGGGCAGAGACTTGGAACAGCTCTCCACCGGCCTCGAGCAGCGCTTCCATAGTCTGCAAGAGACGGCGCGACGGGTGGAGGATCTACTGCCCAACTTGACGAACGCCATTAACAGCCAAGAGAGGCGAGCGCAAGACCTCAGAGAGGTGGTGACCTCTTCCAGCAACGGCATCTCCGAAATCGCAAATCTCCTGGAGTCACAAGAGAGACGCACCTTTGACCTGGCAGAGGTGCATCGCCGCTTTTGGACATGCTGATTGAGTCGTGTGTACAATTAAGCTCATGTCGGCGCTGGCTCAGTACACTCTGAGCGCAGCAGCCAGCGAGGCGTTTTTGTGTGGTGCGTTTGTGAGGCGGTGAGCAACGCGAGGAGGGACCTCGCGCAGCTGAGCAGCCGCCTGGAAGACTCGGGCCAGAGCATTCAGCGGCTCTCGGAGCAGCTCCGCCGTGATCGGGAGCCTCGGGAGGCCCCCAGTTTGGAGGCTCAGGACGCACGCCATTCATGCTTGACAAAGAAGATGCATGAGGAAGGCGTGGTGTTGCTGCATGTTTGCGCAAGCGCCAACAATGCAGGAAGACGCGATTTGGAAGTCGCTCAGAGAGTTGCAGGACAAGCCAGTCACGCTTCGCCCCTTCGGGTGCCTTGCAGCCAGGAGCTCGTGGTGCACGAGTCGGAGCATCGCGCAGTTGGAGCCCCAGCAAACTGGCAAACTGCTGGAAAGCCGTTGGAACTGCTAGAAAGCAGTAAATTTATTCAATGGAACTGAGTAACTGGATGGGAGCTTCGAGTCCCAGGCAGGCCTTCGAGAAGTTCTCAGTGTCATCGGGCCTGGTCCGAGTGCGGGTCTTCTCTTTCGCGCGGGGACTTCACACTCAGGCGAGACACGGAGCAGTTGCGGAGTGAGCTTTCTCGTCATGAAGCTGAGATCGAGGTGCATGCTGCAGGTAGTGCTCCAAAAAGATATGTCTTGCAATGTGTACAGATGCGCTTCGCACCTTTTGTGCTCTGATTGGACCATGCAAGCTGCGCAGGGGCGCTACAAAGCAGACTCTCTGAAAATCAAGCAGCACATTGGGGAATCTCAGGCTCTGGCTTGCCAGATGTATTTGGTTTGCACGGCACTACGGCCCGTACATGCTGTTACACGCTGTTTGGCTGGTTCGTGGCAGGCACGTCTTGCGGACCATGAGCAGCTTAGTGAACGCTTGGAGAAGCGTGCGGCTCTCGGCCATTGTTCCATTGTTCCATGTGCTTTGTGGTACTCGGGTACTGTTTGCAGAATTTGGCATGCTGTGAACGTTTGCTGTGTCGATATGCCAATGCACCTGCCACGTGTTAGGTCTGGACGCGTTGTCCAACGCTTTGACTGCAGAGCGCAACGCACGTATTGAGGCGTTCTGCTTGCAGAGACCTGCTGGGCTGCAGACATTTACTTGCACTTAGGCCTTCGTTTGGCTGGAAGAGAAGGCTCGTTTCGTTGGCCACTCCTCAGTTCCTTCATGGCTTTTCGTGAAATGGAGTGAGGTTCGGGACTCGCAGACTGGACCCAGCCTTGCACCCGGAAGATGTTCTGCACACTTAAGCCACGCACGAATTTGCCATTCGGTGACGAGCGCTTTGCGAGGCACTCCTCCTGCACCAAGCAGCCCGCCGCGCATAACCAGGATTGAGCCAGAGGACACGGACGCGGCAGCTCAAGATTCATGCAGCTCCATTGGCTTGCAAAGGACAACAGACCTGTTGTTGCGCAATCTCTCAGTCGCCTCAAGGCGTGGTCGGCACAAAAAAAAAGGTTTTGACACTTGGGGTCCTGGATTAGTCATTTGCAGGGGAATGCAGCAAGACTGCGCTGAGCAGGTACTGGAAGCGCGCTTTGATCATCGCAAACCTCCTGCCATCAGTCCTGGGGTAGCACGACGGCAATTCGTGGCAAATTGGACACGGACGCGGCACATGACAAACAAATTGTGGCAAATCGCACCGGCCAATAAGGTGAGCGACAGCGTCAGCCCAAGGACAGGACATTGGGTGGCAGCTCGGTGACATGACTCTTCATTCATGTCGTTCCGTGCAGGCAGGGGACCACTGGCGAGACAATCGAAAAGGCAGGCCGAGGACATGTGCAGACATCTTTCAGATGTGCATTTCTAAAAGCCTCTACACATTCACTCTGCTTACTGGTTTTCAAATATCACTGTCCATTCCAAATGAACGGTGATGTCGCCTGGATGCTTGTTAGGGACCCTTTGCACTTTGAACATCACTTGCAGATGTATCCTCACCATTTTCCAGGGGTTGCAAGTAAAATTCACGACACCTGCAGCTCCGCGGGCAGCTGGACGGCCTGCGGGCCGAGCTGAGGCTCGGAGGCGGATCCGAGCTCGGGTGAAAGTCAACTGGATCTCGGCTTCTTTTTGGCTTCTGCTCTATCCAAGAACAGGGTACCCTCGCCCGGAGCGTAGACATTTTGTACAGAAGAACGCCTGGTTCAGCTGCAAGTAAACCATGCCACTCGCAAACGAGTGCCAAGAACATGTCTGCTGTTGAACAACAACTCCGGACTATGGATGCATCCCCCTTTGATTGCGGCGTCAGTTCAGGACAGCCGGAGGTCTGCGACTCAGCTCTGCAGGAAAACCAGGCGAGCAAGCATCTTGGGATTTGCCAGGCTGCCTTTGCTTCTCCGAGACAGCCGATAGTCCGCCAAGCCGAGGCACAGTCTTGCTCTCTGAGTCTACTGAGTTCTTGCATTTCTACTTTTTGGGATGACCAGTCGAGCGGCAAGCGACCAGTTCAGACCTTTTTTTTGCCGGGCGTTTTCACACAGCCCCGACAGGCTCGAAGTATCTCGCCATCCCTTGCGCAGGCGTGGGCATTTTTGAAGTTTGTGCCATGCCCAGCAAGCTCCCGCATTCAGCCAGGCCACGCCGCCGGTGCAGCTTGGCGTGTCGCATCTATGTGCAGTTGTTTAGCATTGCCGGCGCTTTGTTTGGGTCCTTGGCTTCGATTTGATCTTGCCGAGGCAGCGCCGGATTGTTTACTCTCAGCCAGCTATTCCGGTGGCGTCCGCGGCGATGTCGCAGGCAGCTGTTGTGAGCGCAAGCTGGGACATGGTATTGTCAATGTGCAGGTCAGTGGAACCACGGCAAGACGCCCGGGCACCGTTGGCTGTGGCTTTTCGATTCCAAATCAATCCATTCAAATCTCCAAGAATCTGTTCCAAGTTGAACTGTATGTCACACGTCCTTGGTTGTGCTGCTTGGGACTACTGGTGTGATTGTGGATCACATTTCTGTCTTGCGCTCCCCAAAGCACTGCCGTTTCTGTCTCGCGGGGCAAAGGTTGGGGTCGACCCGAGCAAGAATGGTCTTGATCTGAGTGCAAGAGAGTAAGTCGGGGTCATTTGGATTGTTTTTTGAAGGCAAAGGCGACTTTCTCGTGTCCGGGTCAGAGCTGAGCGATCTGGAGCCGCACAGGGCATAGCACGAGGGAGTCGGACCAGTTGATGGGAGTCGGACGCTTTCTGAGGCCCCGGGTCATCTACTCATACCCGGTGATGGCACAAAGCTTGCCCGCCCAGGCCGACGGAAAAAGGCGCCTCGAGGCATTGCTTGTGGGTGTCTCTGGCCTGCCAGGCGGCTCCGACTGCCACTGTTGAGCGCTTACTTGATTATCGAGTCTGCTGGTAAGCGTGCTGGATCTCAACAGCCTTGCAGCTGCCCAACATGGCAACATTTGTGGGTTCCAGTCCCTGCGTTGTTTTGTCCAGCAATTAGAGGGCAGAGTTCCAGGTGGGTCTTGACCTGAACAGAGATGGCCATGGGCTTGGCATCGCTTGTGTCAGCTGACACGAGGGCTTTTCTACTCTCAGAGCGTCCGAGCCACCGCTTTTGGTGAGGCAGAGCGGACGTTCTCGTTTCTGGGGTCGACCTCAACTATGACGGCATACCTGACTGCCTTCAATCCGAGGCTACCTTTGGGCGGGGTTGTGCAATCCGATGCTTCCCTTCGCTTTTGAAAGGCTGCTCCCCCTGGCATGCAGACAGGCACGTATCTCATGTAGTCTGAAAGACGCCATGCAGTTGAATGTTTCCAGGCAAGGTTACGCTTTGTACTGGGCCTGCAAAGGCGATGCTCGAAATGTGCACATTGTTTGCACGAGTATAAGCTTCTGGACAGGGCTACATCCGACCCGCAGAGTTCAGCATCGCAACATTTGGGGCTGAGGCGGTCAATGCGTCACCAATGCCGATTGTTTGTGATTTGATGTCATGTATGTCACCACCACTTTGTTGGCTTTGCCGCAGCTTTGGCTCGCAGAATGTGACATGCTTACCCAGATTGGTTTCAGACTTTTCTTGCTACCTAACATTGTATTTGCGTGCGTGGTCTCAACCAGAAGAATTGTGCAACCTCAAATCGGATCGTCCACTCCAGTCGGCTGGAGTTCTAGCAACAGGACACTCGGTTTCCACACACGGCAGATGCACTGCCGAACCATGTACCGTTTGCAAAAGCTTCCCGTGATCTTGGAAAGCCAGCATCTCAGAATTTTATGGTATAGGCAGCCTTGGCTTGGCATATTTGTCGTCGATGACCAGGACATGGCTGTGAGCAGCTTGTACTCAAACGGCTGCTTGTAGGCCGAGGCAGGCACAGAGCAGCAGTTTCACATACTAGGCAGTGAGTCATCAATGTGGCTCCAAGCAGCAAGGTGAAGCTGAGTGCCGGTTTCAATTCCAGCTCTTCAGGACATGCAGCATTGCAACATCGCTTCGCAAGCAAGTCGAGCGACGGCTTCCGGTCCCAGTTCGAATCCAAGATGTTCCGTATCTCATAGCCATGACAAAGACAACATGAGCCATTTCCTTGCTTGCACATGATTCGACTTTCTTGGACACGCTTGGAATGATAGAGATAGGTGAGCTCTGGCTTTTGTGCTTTCCGTACATGCCTCCTTTTTCTGGGCCTGAGGCGCCATGAAGGCAGCGCGTCTTCAGCAGCTGCATGTCCCGAGGTTTGGATTTTCGCGAGCTGCGTATTGCGTTTGCAGCAACGCACAGGGAGAGGAGGAGCTTGCCGACATGCGCATCGGAGCTTTGCGGATGATGCAGCATGGCGCGCGGGCCGAAGCTGCACGCCGGTTTTTGTTTGTGCCCGCTTGGTCTTGAGCGGACACCAAGGCCGGAAGAAGCATAGGGAACAATGCACGTCGACGTCCGAACTGGGCAGTGGCACATGTCGAGGCGACAAGGACCAGTGCAGATGGATGGTGTTGATGCTCGGCCCAGGACCCAAACAAAGAGGCGGGCCAGAGCGGTAAACTCGAGTGAAGGAGCTTCTTGATGCTTCTTGGCTGTTTGACCAGGTCAAGAGGTCGAACATTGATGAGAGGCAATTCCTCACGAATGACGGAGCGGACGGCAAGACAATTTTCGAGAGGGCACGCAGTGCTTCAAGGAGCTTGTGCAGTATTTGAGGTGCCGATTGCGCAGGTTCGGCCATTTTCTATGCAGACTGTACTTCTCAAGCCAGTGTTCTGCTTGAGAACTGCTCTCCCAAACTTTCAAGAATCTGCCATGCCGGCCAAACCGCTCTTCACGGTCACCTCCGATGGGAATTGACCTCAAAGATGGTCGGGAGTGACCCAACGATGGGTGGGTCTAACATGGACGAAGTCATTCCGTTGATAGATCAGTAAATCACAAGCCGGGCTTTCAGAACCAGTGAACAAAGTTCCCGTCCCCGGGCAAGCCTTTGCAAGCACCAGCAACTTGCGCCAGATGATGCAACCACGGTGGAAGACGATGCGCAGAGCCCTGATCCTGCACGTGCTCATGGATGAGGACGCCTTCTGTGCCGTTTCGCAAGAAGCGCTGGATGAGACCTTCAAGTGAAGGTTATCGAGCATGTTCAATGGCTCACTACGCAGGGGCAAACGCTTGGCGATTAGTGCGCGTGTCTCATGTGGGACGATCCCTTTGGACACGCCGCCGATGATTTTTTGCAGAAAAAAACCGCGAAGGATTCATGGACACCTCCCCCAACCAGGATAACTTCTCAGTGACACAAGTGCGTTACTGAGAAATTGTCCTGGTTGGGCGCACAGTGATGCGAGGCGAGCAGTGCAGACCGTGCCCTTCTTCATGTTCAATCACAGCAGGGTTTGGGAAACGATGCCGTTGATGAGGTGTAGAGGAGGCCTCCATGAGTGCATCTGAGCAGGCGCAAAGAGACGTGGTTGCCCATTCTTTCTGGAACGGTTGGGTTGCACTCTGCAGCGGTGCGCTTGCGGAACTCTTGAAAGCCAACCGTATTTGGACTGCGGACTTCGAAGACTCGCGCTGCGTCATAGGTTCGGTTGGCAGCGCCAATGTTGAAACGGGTGGCAAACCACAGCGAAAAGGAGAATGCTCGTGTTGAGGCAGTGGGCGGAGAAGCTCGTGTGCTGACCTGTGCTGGAGTTGTCAATCGGCACACATTCATCAAACCACGAGCCGCGGTGGCCTGTCCGTGGTCCTCTTGCTGGGCGACCAGTTGATCGAGGACTGTGCCATTTGCGCCACTCGTGCGGTTACGCTTACAATTGTGGACCTTCACGCGGGTATTCTTGCTCTTGGTTACCGATGGCGTGTGGCAGTTGCTGGATGCCAGCGGAACAAATGCCAGAAGCCGTGCCAGCGGCGATGCCGCGCCAGCTGCAAGAAGCAGCGGCGCAGCCATGATGCGTGGCGAACGGCAACTATTGTAATGACATCATGTCGGACCTCCTGACGTGACGTCATCGCAACAGCCTCCAGATGCGCAGAGGATAACTTAAAGAAGAAGGGCGCGGCCCTGGCCCAGCATTCGCTCGTTTTCGGCTTTTCCCTGAGACAGTTCACGGCAGCCGTTTGGCAGTTGCTTCAGATGTGCTGGGAGACTTCAAAAGTCCGGCCAAGCAGTCGGTTTGGAATGACGCACCCAGAGAAAAGAACTCACGGGTGGCATGCAAATTCGGAGTCCTGTGCAATCCGCGCGCAAAAATAAACCATACATGACAGGCTATGGTTGCGCGCAGGAACCGGCTTCAGCGCAGCCTTGTCGCAGCCGCGGACTATCGAAGTGGCAAGCAGGAGGAGGTGAGGTGTTTGCCTAAGCCACCAGAGCAGCCAACAGCCCTTTCATTCACGTCCCAGATGCATGGGCAGTCAGGTCTTCCAACATACCAGATGATCGCGACTGAGCTGAGATGGGGTTTGCCGAGCTTGGGTGATGCGATAAGGCATGGTTGCCCAAACCGTGGACTCAGGCGATTTGGAGGAGATAGAGCAGGATGTGGAGGAGCAGATACAAATTGCCATCGCGAACGGGGAGTTCGAAGACTTGGAAGGCCAGATTTCGAACTTTCGAGCTTTCAACATGCGAGTTTGTATTGGCGCCTTTCGTGAGGCAAAGGCAAGCCAACGAAAAGCTTGCTCGAAGCCGACAATCCGTATCTGGACATCTCTTCATTTAGTTTTTCATTGAATTTCATCGTGTCATGCGGAAGCTCAGGCAAGCTGTGTTCTGTTTTCGTCCAGGACCAAGCAGACCGGGTCGGCTTTGGCTTGCTCAAGAAGCACGGTTTTGCTCCGGAGCCTGGCCTTGACATGCCCGCATTCGCCACAAAATCAAGTCTCCACTCAAACACGATGAATGCTGCTAGGAATGGATCGAACAGCAAAAGCGCATTCACAGGGACCTGGACCACTATGTCAGGCAAGCGCATCAGCAGTCCAGCTTTGGCATTGCAGTTTGAGTCGCTTGGGCAAGCCCAACTTCCAACCCATACTTGAGAGGAATCTCTCTGAAGCTTGGAGGGCAAGCCGATTTGAGCCCACGCAATCCTACGTGGCTCACAAGGATTGCAGTTCAACTTGTGAACTCTGTGCACCTGGGATGCACTTACCTCCAAAACTCAGACGCGAATGCGATTCCAGGACAAGTTTCGTCGAGATATGGCATTGCTGAACAAGCGTGTCCGCGACTACAATCTGAACTGCCCTGTTTCAGCGCAGATGATGCCCTTCGAAGTGCAAGAAGAGGCTGGGCGGCTCAGCCAGTGGCTGGGCTTATCACGAATAGGCGAACAAGTCAATGAACCTATGCGACTTGTAAGCGAGCAGGTGCGAAGGGCCAAGCGCGACGCAGAGGCTCGGGCCCTGCAGGCCGGAACGGGAAGACTCGATGGATCACATTCGGAGGCGCAGAGCCAAGCGTTTTGCAGGTGCAGAGCCAAGCTCCAAAAGGCGCGGACTCTGTGCTCGGCCTCGAATCCTTTGAACTGCTTGACAGAAAGCGTTGGCGATGCGGCAGCGCGCCAGACTGCACTCCTCCGAAAGGCGCACTGAATGCATGTGAGTCCCGGCTCGCTGTTTCAGCCGCGAGGTGCTTTTTTCACGCTCTTCCAGCAGGCAGCATGCAGTGCAGAGCAGGGCAGAGCGGTGCAAGTTGACTGTCCAAGGCAAAGACCTGCGCAGTCCATATGGTCCAGGCAGGACTTGCGCTTCATCTTGTTGCAGTCGGGTCTGAGAGCTTCCTCAAACTGACAGGGTGGCAGATGCTTTCAAGCTGGGCAGCACCTAAATTCTTTGATGACTGCATTTCATGAATCAGGTAGGCTGAATATTTGTTCCGGTGCAGCACATGCAATGTTGCGTGTGCTGTACTTGTGGACAGCTCTGTTCCAAAGGCTGCAATGCGCCTGCCGTCTCGCTGCATGCTTCCAGACATGGTTGCCATTAATGCAGCAAGGTGCATGTCAGGATGCGGGCCCAGAAGTTGGGCTTGTGCAAAACCAAGTAGTCAGTAGTAGTCGGTGGGTTTTCAAACAGTCGCTGCGATGGACTTCGCGTTGCTTGATCTTGCCTTGGCTTTTGCAATCGCAATCAAGTCGGCAGGCCAGACCCCTGGAGCCACAGCAGGCGGTGCAAGGCTTCATTTGGAGTGCCATTTGTGGAGCACGAGGCACTGCGGTGCTGGAACTGCAACAATGAAATCCTGGCCGACGCAAAGTTCTGCCGCATGTGCGGCCAAAGATGCCAGGCCATGTGTTGAGATGGCTCGCAGAGTGCGCAGACCGCTTGTCAGGAGCAGACCATTTGCTAGCAAGAGGCCAACGATGCCTCTCTATTTGTGTGGTCAGTGGCCCGGCTTCGCTCACGTGTTTCAATGTAAGGAATCGGATCACTCTCGGCATTCGAGCTCGAAAATCCATTGGTTCGCAAAAACGACCTGTTTACTAATGGCAAACATGAAAAGGCCATTATGCGTGAGGCATGCATTGAACTTGCAGCATTGCCGTGTATCATTGGCCTGTACAATATTCCAATTTCGATTCAATGTACTTATTGCCCCGTGTGCGCGGGCAAGTACACTGGTGCAACCACAAGCTCAAAGCTGTTGCCCGGGATAATTGCTGCCAGCAGCGCGCTCCTAGCAGATCAAAAGCCTTTCTGAGCTGCTTGCTCTCCCTGTCCATCCAGAGATGTTCTTGTAAATCTGAGCCTTTGCAGCCGAGCCTTTCATCAAGCAGCGAGCTCACGGTACGCTGCAGATTGGCCTTATTTGCTTCAAATCAGAGCCATAATGATTTTGGGTTTCTGCAACGCTGCATGTTCCAGCTATACACATTCATGAACAGTACACTGCTTAATTTCTCTTGCTTGCTGCAAGTCTAGGCTGATACTTCGACTATACTGGAGCAGTTCTCGAGTTGCACAGTGTCATTGGTTTTAGTATCATCACTTTGATTCTTACTTCCATTCTTATTTCTTGTTCTCGTTCGCACTCCCTTTGCATTTGCTCCTTTTGTGACTTCTTCGCTCGCTTTCTCACTCTTGCTTACACATTCACGTATCCTCCCTCACTGTTTCTCTCTTGACTTTTTCGTAACGCTTTACTTTATTGCCTGCAACATGCCATGGCTGTTTGGTGGCTGCTTTCCACGGTTCGGGCTGCCGGCCACTTTGTTCAGGCGGGAAGTCAAGTAAAGAGTCGTGCATGTCCACCAAAGTACTTGTTTCGAGTGCTGTATTTGGTTTCTGCTCTCTCTGTCTTCAACATCCATATTGGTATTTGTCAAAATGGGGGAACCACTAAAATAGTGGGTCTTCGCTTGGGTTTCCTTTCAATCCAAGCCCAAACGGGTACCTCAAAGACACACAAAACGCTGCGTGCGCATGCGCAGGTGCCAGGCGAGAGTGATGCCAGCCTTTTCGCGCGTTGGCCTGGGCCGATTTCTGACCCGTGCCTCGAGTGGGCGGAGGGTGCTGAAGGCGCGGCGCAGGACTTGGGCCATGCTGAAATGGGTTGTATTTTTGAGGGTATGCCTTCAGGTCGGTTTGAAGGGAAGTGAACACATACTTTCGCCGCTCGGACCCCTTCTGGAGTGGTTGCAAAGGAAGCACAAGGAAACCACCGTTTTGTTTCTTCCTATGTTGGCCGAAGCTTTGAGCGTGAGACTCCGAAGGCTATGAGCTCCGTCGCCTGGCAACACGCAGAGCCAAGTTTTTCTCTGAAGCCCGCGATGCAGTGCTGCGTACCGCTTCGGGCGCTCGAGGGGGCGAGTGGCAACCTGTCTTGGCGTGCCCGGCCACTGGCTGGACACTGCGAATCCTGAATGCATCGGCATTTGCTGACGGAGAGGAGGGAGAAGCCGAGCTTGCTTTGGTTGTGAGAGAAGTTCTCATGGCAGATGAGTCACTGCTGCAGACACTGTCGTCTCGATTGAGCCTCTTCGGCTTGCTGGCGCTTGCTGGCAGACGGAAGCGCCAGCGCCAACTGAGCACTCTTTCTCCAGTGATATGGGATACATTCACGGATCTTCCACGATGGTCATCGCTGCAATCAGAGTTGTGGAAAGCAATCAGGACAAGACGCCCTTTGCCGATGGCCGCTACAATTCTGGAGATGTCTTCTGGTCCGGATGGCTTGAAGTTGGCAACTTGCCTGCTGGCATCTGCTCAGGAGATCAGGCTGAGATCAGGGGACATCATCTCTGGCGCACAGACCTTTTCAGAGGTTCGTGCGCTCGTTGGGCGCGCTGGGGCGGCTGTGTCTCTTTGGGCCTCGCAGGTGCCCCAGCTGCTCAGTGGTTCCAAAGTTTGTTTCTTTTCGGGAAGCGTTTCGCTTGAACACCCGTGAACCAACAAAAGGACAACTCACCAACACGTGGGGTGCCCTTGTTTGGGGAGGGGGGGGTGCCAGAGATGCCAGGTGCCGCTGGATGAGCTGGTCAGGGGGCTACGGGATTGGCCGCTGGTGCAGCTTCTGGCGGACCTTGAGGTGGGATGTTTGTGAAGGTACTGTTTGGGACGGGGGGTGTCTCAAAATGTGTCATAAAGTTGAAATCGGTACCCCCCCAAGATTTTTGGTTGGTATCCTTTTGGTTTCTCCCCTTTGGAACAAACCAAATGGAGTTTCCCCCAGAACGCACACCCAACTCGGGATCCCCGAAAATGTGACTTTCCTGCAGGTGTTTCTTGAGGGTCCACTTTGAGAAACTCTATGGGAAGCAACAGAAGCAAACAAAAGGAAATAGAAACCTAACGGGGTTGCTGACGGGAGGCTAAAAGGAGCCCACCTAGGAAAACACGGTCCAAATCTCAGAAGAGACATCAGGTGTCCGACTTGGCGCAGCTGCACGCGATGGGGCGCCAGCTTGTGTCGCAGCAGATGGTGCGCTTTCTTCCTTCGCCGGAAGTCGACCACTTAGCTCTTCACCATGCTGACTTGAAGACATTGGCAATTAGCGCTACTGGGACATTCCGCAATTTTCACACTGTTCCGTTAACCACTCGATCTTCCTATCCAGGTAGCTTTTTGTTTTCTCGGCCTGTGAGGTGGTGCCCAGCATTGTGCTGCCTTACCGGGAGCCCTTGAGTGACCACGACCGCGATATTGGGCGCTTTCATTGCACTTCCGACTTCTTCACGGAGGTGGAGTTTTGGTTGCGTGAATACGGTGAATTGTTTGCAACACATTGCATGCCATTGTCTTTTTTGGTTTAAGACTCAGCTGCATTGTTGTAAAAATGGGTTCCATTTCTTCAATACCTCCAAGGTGGACTTAAACCCAGAGGTTGTTGATTTCAAAAGGGAAGCCCCTGGGTTTAAGTGTACCTTGGGCACGTGAAAAAGTGGAACCCCGTTTTTGTGCAGTTCTTGGCCCCATGATCATCTCTGGATGTCTGAGGCCATTTGCCCGAAGCTCGTATGGTGGCCGTTGAGGCGGGCCTTGCTCACATGCTCGTTGAGAGAATATTCCTGCTCTGCCCGGTGCAGGTGGCATGCTGGCTTCCTGACTGCTTAATCTGGGCTGCTCATCGCGTTGGTGGCCGCATATCAGCAGCGTGCTTGGAGGCCACTGTGCAGGAAAGGTCTTGAAATAGATTTGTTCACAACTTTTGTGCGCATCATTCGATTCAGGAGTGCTGAATGTCTAAGACCACCGGAGACATTAGAGTGAATGGATTTGACAAAGGATTCTTAGCTTGATGCGGAGCTATCCTTTTTGATTTCTTCATGGCATCCTATGATTGTTTGCTCAAGCGATTATGTACTGTGTAGGCTGACGACCTGGCAGTTGCCACGGGCAGACGCTCCATCAAACTGAATGGCTTCGAGGGCCAGGTGCCTCGCTTTGAATGGTCGCGACGCGACATTGAGCATTTTTCTATCAGAGTGGCGCGAGAAGCCGCTTGGCTTCCTTGGATTCAAGTCGCGAGTTCACGTTCTGGCCAAGGTGCACATGCTTCAGCGGCGAGTTACTGGCTCACTTTCGGCCTGTTGGCACTGCCGAGACCATACCGACATGCAGCACCCAGACAACCTGGCCACAGGCTAAGACTGCCGGATGATTTTGGCCATATGACATCCACCATGGAATCTGCAGTTGCATGCACTGCCTGCGACACTGCCGAGGAAGCAAATGCGCACTTGTCAAATGACCGGCGATGCTGGTTCCACGAGGCAACTGGGATGGCATGTGCCAAAGATCACTTTGCCAGCTCCATCGACACAGAAGTCAGCCGGCTTGGCTTCCAGCAGATCGACATCCTTAAGATGTCAATTTCATCAATGGACATCTTGAGGACCTGAGCGGAACCTGGATGTGTTCATATGGGGGGGCTTGCATTGGGGAGTTTTTTTTTTTTTTTTTTTTTTTTTTTTTTTTTAAGGGAAAACAATAGGAAACCACTTGCAGTGGTTCCTGATTTTGAGAGACGCCACGTGCTTCGGTGCGCGGCTGGTATGAAGTTCAGAGCCAGGAGCTCTTCGTGGGCCCTTCAAAGAACACAACGGGTCTTGCTGGCGCTGATCTCAGCAACAATTGCAAGTCAGGCGATTCCTTTTATGTTTTGTTTGCGGCTACCATTTTAGTATTGTTTTGATGGGAAACCCAATGGAAGCCATCATCTTGGGAGGTTCACCGAGTTCACGCCCCAGGCCACTGACCCTCGAGATACGCTGGCACAAGTGGAGCTTCTACGGGATGCTGGGTTCGAGGCAGCCCACACGGTTGTCAGCCTCCAGAGACTTCCAGCGAGTTATGGCAGGAAATCCATGTCCCCATGCCTCATATGCCAGCAGCTTAGCTGTCCGCACTTTGATGTCCGCAGTAGTTGCTGTGTGCCGCTCGACTTGGTTTGCGTTGAAGTTCAAAGGTCTGGTGGATCCACACCGTATAGCTTCTATATTATTGCACGCCGGCTCGGAGTGTAAAATCGATTTGGAGCGAGTGTGTGTGTGTGTGTGTGTGTGCGCCCATGTGTGCATACCCGGCTCTGTCGCTCTCTCTCTCTCTCTCGCGCTCTTGGCTCCCTCCCTCTTGCTTGCTTGCTTGCTTGCTTGCTTGCCTGCTTTCTTTCGTTACTTCTTTCTTTCTTGCTTCTTTCTCTTCCCCTCCCTCTCTCTCCGTCCAAAGTGATGGTGTAAACAAAGCAGCAGTGGGGTCAGGGCACTTGAAGCAACGGCTCTGTGAGCTGCACTTGCTGCCCGCCTGGCTTATGCTTCGCAAGTGCGGGAAACCCCATCCTTACGCCCATACCTTGGTTTTCAAGAAGACTTGTATGACGTGAGCGGTACGACGGATGCGGCAGCTCAGGTTCTTTTTCTTGTCGAAATCGCTCTTCATGGCATGGCGTTCCTCAAGGTGGGATACAAGCAGCGATGTGGAATATCTAAAGATGTCGCTCCACAGGCTCTTGCGCTGATTTCTGCTGGCGTCTTGTTGTCCGAAGCATGGGATGAGGCCAGGCTGTGCTTGTAGTTCCGCATGGCAATTGATTTCTTGTCAGCCCTTGGACGCGTTCTTGGAAGACGAACTGTTTGCTGATCTTGCTGCAGAAGGCCAGCAATTTGCATGTCTCTCTGCCATGTGTGGCTTGCTCTCTCAGACCTCGCCCATGGTGGTGCACTGAATCTGCTGCAGGCAAGAACCTGTTTTCAAGAAACAAACAATGGTGGGTGCAGTTGGCGACACAGGGACAGCTTATGTCTCGCAATTACAAGTCCATCACGAGACATGCGAGAGGCCAAATCCCCTTGCGAAGTTCAAAGGGGTTCCACTCTGGTCAGATCATATTGGGCGAACAAAACTAGACCTCTACAATAAGGGTTTGAGTGCTGTAGCTCGTAAATTTGCGCGAGGAGGGGGACACCAGCGCCATGATACTTTCTCTACATGTTTTTTTTTGGGTACTCTTTTGAGGTTGGTTCAACAAGGGAATCCAACATGAACACCAATTCAGGGGGCCCCCTATGTTGAGAACCATCTTTTGAGGTTGGTTCAACAAGGGAATCCAACATGAACACCAATTCAGGGGGCCCCCTATGTTGAGAACCAGCCGCATGATGCCTGAGATTTTGTCATGGCGCAGGCCACTGCAAAGCTTCATCACCGCGGGTGCCAGCAGTTGTCCGCGTGAGAGCTGCTTTTCCATTGGTCGCAGGAAGGACGGCAGCATCCCCGAGCTGAGTGAGGGAGGTGGCTCGCTGGCGTCGCTGGCCGCGGCGATGGAAGATGGCAGCGCGGAGTCGATAGAGGCGCCCGCCGAGACTGGTCAATGCGTGGTTTTACCATGGACCCTAAAGCAGGTTGGTTTCGTTCCCTTGAAAACCATATAAATCATAGATCAGCGAGGAATTCCCAAAGTGCTTCGATGAGGGTTGGCAGACATTTGCTTTTGTTGCACCATGAGACAAGTTGTCTCGAAGGTGCCAATGATGCTATGGACTTAGCTCGAGGTAAAGCGCAGGTGGAAGCTTGCGACGGCCCATTCTCCCGAGGTCACTAATGCAGGCTTCTGCCAAAGAAGGCCGGTCATCGGAGCTTGACAGGGGAGCTTCTTAGCCATAAGTGTCGCAGCCTTGCGTGTGATGCTTACCGAGGCTTGGGTTGTGCATCCAGCATCACTGTCATAGCCAGGTGTGAAGAAAGTACAATCAAGCAGAAAGGCTGGGTGCTCAACACAGATACTCTGAGGATGCTTGATAGGCACATCCATGACAGCAGCAACAATCTGCGTGGCAGATGCCATGTGGCTTCGGACACACGCCTTTGATTTGGAGGTGCTCTTGAACTCAAAGCAAGAGCTGTGAGGATGGATTGCGACAGTGGAGCGCACGAGCAAAAAACAGCAGCGATTGTGCGGAAAGAGTTGCCTTCGAATGAAGTGTGAGGCGCCCAGCTGAAAGTGCAGTCTTGCCATCCTGCTGAAATCCCAATGAGTGGTGGTGTTTTGTTGCACTGAATGCTTGCATGTCTCATATGGCCGTGCTGAGCCTAAGCTCTTATTGTGCGCGTATTTTGCACAGTTGACCCGCTCATTTTTGCAAGGGTGGTCTTCCTGCTTGCTTGTTTGCCTTGATCGGTTGTTCGCTTTGTCGCTCGCTCACTTGCTTGCTCGAAACTGGAGTTGGGCGTGAGCACAAGCCGGATACAAATGCACACTTAGTTCCTATCGGCCATGCCGGCAGTCGTGTGTTTTTTTGCTCCAGCATTTTGGCGGATGCAGACAATGTACTGACGCTTTCAGTGCCTTGATTCTTGTATGCAGCCACAAAATGCATGTGCTTGGCTCTTCTTTAGCCTGCACACCTACCTTGGGTTGCTTTTTTTGCTGGAATGCGTATTGGATTTGCCCTGTTCTCTCTGGTTGATGTTGGCTTGCCAAGGTTCCGGACCAGACACTTGCACGATATCCTACCTGGGCGCCAATCCTTGCCTGACCAGACAGAGAATACAGGCCGGCATCACAAGAGCCCCCGCACGGATTCGGGCTCAGAATTCCAAATCGCACGCGATGGGATTCCACGAGCTTCGTGAGCTCCCGGGGCTGCCGGCAAGGCACGGGATACGTTGCAACAGTCTCGACGCCTCGGTTGGAAAGCCCCACCTTGCCATTTGTCAATCAAGCTTTTTGTTTGAGTTGGATCCTTTGAAGGCATCCCGGTGTTTTGCGCCAGAACAGCTGTTTGACATTGAGCGATTGCACATGGTTTTCAAACAGGCAACCACGCAGTCAGTAGCAGAAGAGCTGCGCTCCTCGACAGATTCAATGCCCTTTTGATGAAATGGACTCAGCGGGCTCCTTCATGGCAATCTTGGTCCCACCGAGATATTTATATGGCTACTTGATGCTACTTGCTTGTGCGAGCCAACTTGTAAATGTTCCTTGCTTGGGACTTGATGAAGGAAAGCACAAACGACTACCTGTCAATCTTTGATCAGTGGCACAAGCGGGTAGCCGTCGCTCTAGGCACGGTTTGGACCCCACACCTGCCGAGACGATTGCAACTCTCTCCAATGCCAGGCAGCCTTGATCATGCTCCTCAGTATTTGCCTCAGTTTGTCTTGGAAGATCGATCTGCACCATTCATGGACTTACCTATTGAAGGGCCCGCGCAAAGATTAGCTGCGAGGATGCAGGAAATGGCAGCCAAGTTTCCAAGTTTCAAGGCATGCTGTGATCCAATCGATACCTCACAGCTTCAATATTTGGTGCATGGCATATTTTGTTGTGTTATTGGCATGGTCCTTTTGCCCATGGTCCACACTGCACTCGCCGCTTCGTTGCCATTCTGGGATCAACGCCAGACACGGTCGGTCTGTGCTAGCTCACTCTCCGGGTTGCAGACCGTGCTGTTGCTTCATCAGCCCCAGACTCAGACGCGTGCGTGACGCGTGCGTGACGCGTGCGTGACGCGTGGTGTGGAGATTGTGGAGCAATTGCACTCAAATCTATGTGGTTGTGACATGCAGCTGATGTGATCATCATTGGGGACCGTGGTACGCCAGCTTGACAGGAACTCCATGATCAATCCTGTGTATGTATGCACACTTTTGTTTTCTTTCTGGCGAATCCGCGGGCAAAGCAATTGGAGATGTCCCCTCGTTTCTATGTTCGAAGATGGGACCCCTGCTGATGCAATACCTAGTAAAAGTCCAAGGTCGCAATGAAGACGATTGCCAGCTTGGCTGTCCTGCTGACAGTGGCCTCCAAAAAATTGACGATTCGAACCAAATCTCAGGCAGGGCCGCTTGATGAGCGACAATCGAAGTGATCAGTCGCGCTTGATTCGCCTGTTGATTGAACCAAACGCTCTCCAGCTTGCAAGGCGATCCAAGCCGCACCGCAGTCCTGTGACAAGATGAGGTGCCAGAGAGCCGTTGTTTTGTGTGGCTTCGCGAAGCGTGTTGCCCGCCGGAAGAAAGATATGAAAGCTGGGTCACATAGGTCGCTACCGGGAGGACAGGAGCACTGTCTAGGACTTGTCTAGGTGATTTGAAAGGCAAGCCATGGTCTCTCGCGGAACAGGGCTTGGAACGGGACCTGAATGCTCTCGGCTACAAACTTGAATTTGGGTTAGTTTTGATTAGTCGCCAAGAGTTTCTTTCATTCGGCTGAAGCAACTTGACAACGCCTTGAGCACCAGGTGCCCGCCGGCCTGGAGACCCAAAATGGACCATCACACCCTGACCGGGGTCACCGGAGAAGATTGCTGCGACCGGTCCTCTGATTCCCAGGTACAGCTTGTCATTTCTCACATGATTGCATGGCTGAGGACAAGACCTGCGAACTTTTCGAATGCAAAGGTGTCTACAGATCCAATGAGGCGCATGGCTCGTGTTTTTTTGTATCTTTCAGAGCTCCTATTGCCCACGCATGTCAGGCCTACTGGGGCAACGTGGGATCTTCTCCGCAAGTCTGCTGTGACAAGATGTGCGGGACCGCTTTGCTGCGCTGGGGATTCTCACTGTGTTGAGTCTGAGACGTGAAAGTTGTTAGATGGCATATGGCCGCGGATATTGCAGGCGAGCTTGATGAGCTGTTTAGTTGTGGTGGAGGCTGTTCGGCTTCCATTGACATATGTCAATAGCATGGGGTCCATTCGCCAATGTCGGCAACGGAATATTTGAAAGCAACAGATCAAAGTCAGCGGCCAGGAATGAGTTTGAGTGTGACGTGGGCTACGTGCTGGCTGACGCTACTGCACCGGGCACCTCCAAGAAGGCAGGGATCGAGACGGCAATTCCATCTAGTGGACTCCGCATTTTTTCCCCACCCGACAGGAAGGGGTTGTTAGATTTTATGTTGGAATCCGCGTTTGCGATGCTTCTACACCACGCCCCCACCCAGTATCCCGCCAGAGCAGTTCGCCAGTGGATCCCGCCGAGTATCCCGCCAGAGCTGCTCGCCAGTGGATCCCGTCCAGTATCCCGCCAGAGCAGTTCGCCGGTGGATCCCGCCGAGTATCCCGCCAGAGCTGCTCGCCAGTGGATCCCGTCCAGTATCCCGCCAGAGCAGTTCGCCGGTGGATCCCGCCGAGTATCCCGCCAGAGCTGCTCGCCAGTGGATCCCGTCCAGCTGCTCGCCGGTGGATCCCGCCGAGCATCCCGCCAGAGCGGCTCGCCAGTGGATCCCGCCAAGTAGCCCTCGCCAGTGGATCCCGCCGAGTATCCCGCCAGAGCGGCTCGCCAGTCCCGCCACAGTGGATCCGGCCGAGTATCCCACCAGAGCAGACCGCTAGTGGATCCCGCCAAGTATCCTACCGAGTATCCCAAAGTAGCTCGCCAGTGGAGTGGATCCTGCCGAGTATCCCACCAGAGCAGACCGCTAGTGGATCCCGCCAAGTGTCCCACTGAGTATCCCAGAGTAGCTCGCCAGTGGAGTGGATCCCGCCGAGTATCCCACCAGAGCAGACCGCAAGTGGATCCCGCCGAGTGTCCCGCTGAGCATCGCGCAGTAGCTCGCCAGTGGATCCCGCCAAGTTTCCCGCTGAGTATCCCTTGCCGGTGGGATCGAGCCGGAGCGGCTCGCCAGTATTCGCCAGTGGATCCCGCCAGTATCCAGAGCAGCTCGCCAGTCTGGTTGCGCTTAATGTCCTAAAGGGCTGATAGGAGTTTGGAGTCGAAGTCTCTAGGATGCGGAGGAATTTGCTGTAACGGTCGTAAGCTCGTGAGTGTGGAGGGTGGGATTGCTCGATGCGAAGTAATTATTTTAATTTTAATTTCATTTTTTAGACATGATCTACCCTCCCTCCAACAATCAGGGAGGCAGACAGGAGCGTGTTAGAAGACTTGTTTCCTCTTGGGGAGACTTACATGATTGCAAAAAGGGTATCTTTCGATATCCAAAGTCTGCCAGGATTGCTGCCAGCCAAAGTGCGAACTCTTCAACTGCACTGCTCCGTGGGCTCCATCCGCGGCAAAGAAAGATGTTGCCCGGGCCTAAATCAGGGCCTCTCGTAGTTAGGGACCCCAGTATAGGGTGGCTTGAAGGGAAGCCAGAAAGAAACCAACTACCTAGAGGAAACCAAACGCCTGGAAGGGTCTTGAATGTTGACAAGCACTCAAAGATGTACCCGGACCGTCACGGAAGTCAATTGCAGGTGGCCAGCAGCGCAGAGGCACAGTGAGCACCGCGTGTCGCGCGAGCGAGTGCTTAGATTCCGGTGTCAGGAATGCTGCGACAAGACTTGCCGCTGACCCAGATCCCATGGCCTTAGAAGCCGATCACATGGGATAAATGAGGAACATATCACTGTGCTCGCTAGCTGAAGCCCAGCGGGTTTCGGGACAGGCATTTAGACTGAGGCAAGCCTTCATGGGGATTGCCTCAGTCTCCCTCATGGGGTTGGTTCCAATATTATGTTTTGCCATCTTGTTGTTGATTCTGAGAGTTTGCCATTCACATATTCTGGCAAACCTGCACTCGGTCACACAATTCCTTGTTATCTACACACTTAACAAGGGTTGTCGAATGTGTTCATGTAAGTTCATGTGGTTTGTGTTGATCTCGGAGATGGAAGTGCAACTTGAGCGATCGCCATTCAATCCTCATGGGGGTGTGCTTTTTGCAGGTTCCCCTTTGAGGCGTGGTTTTAAAGGAATCCTGCAGGAACGACTTAGTTGGGGGGGTCCCCTATTTTGAGACACACGCACACACCCATCAGGGATGACAAGTATGAGACGCAAGGTGCTGCTGTTGACTGCTCCATCTCTGGCTGGGAAGTCAACGAGAGCAAAGCGCTGCAAGCTGGAAGCACCCCGGAGGACCCATTTGCGAATTTTGTGTCTTTGAGGGGAAACCAAAAGGGAAGCCCCGTTGGACACAAACCCAGAGCCGTTGAGATGTGCTTGGCAAATCTGCCAGGATTGCTGCACTCCGTTGTGCGGCAACTCTGAGCAAGTCACCTGCCCATTTGGGTGGGCGGTGCCAGAGGAGGATGTGAACAAGACCAGCAACAGAACCATGGAGGTGTGGGAGCAAGTGCAGCGGTGTGGGTCAAGGACATCGGGTTTTCGTTCCCCCTCTGTCTACATATCCAATTGGCCATTTTGTCTGTCTGTCTGGCTCGCCTCTCCCGCTCTCTCTCTCTCTCTCTCTCTCTCTCTCTGTGTCTCTCTCTTTTTCTCTCTCTCTTTCTCTCCGCTATCTAGTCCAATCTATACAATCTATTCTAATCCAATCTAGATCGAATCAATCGAATCCAATCCAATCGAATGTAGCTATCATTATCTCTCTATCTCTCTCTCTCTCTCTCTGCGTCTAGCCCTCTACCTCTGCAGCTCTCTATCTCTCTGGCTCTCTCTATCTCTCTATCGATCCATACATATCAATAACACATGTATATATATATATACATATATATATATGCATACAGACGCATGGACAATGTGAGTGTGCCGATTGAGCCGCTGGCCAGGGATGCTGCCAGACGCAATGCAAAGCCTTCACGTGCAGCCCCGGCTTCGCACCCAACGTCTCCAAGGAGGATGCCTTTGGAGCATCTGACGAGGACGGAGTCGGCAATTCGCACGGCTACGAACTACTTCAATAGGGAACCGCCTCAGAAGCGGTTGGTGGACATGAATCCGAAATGATGTCCACTACCGGGATCCCCCCCATTTGAATTTCTCACCCACATCCCTTACGTTGCTTGCTTGCACGCAAGGAATGCTGCCTTCCCACTTGTCAGCAGTTCAACTGCTCACTGGAAGATGGCTGGGCACCCTGGCCCGCTGTGGAGAACGACATCGGTGCGGACCTCTGTCGCAGAGCTTGCTTCCGTCGATATCGCTTTGCCCAGGAGCAAACGCATCGCAATGCTGCCTCCCCACCTGCAAGCAGTGGACGTGCAATGCCACAGAGAGCTGGCTGCCATACCCCGGGACCGCCCATTTCCACTTGGAGTTTGCATGCTTGGCCACGCAACTTTCAACGCGAAGAATCGCCTGCTTGCATGCAAAGCTGCAATGCCGCGCATGCTTCCCTTTGACACCATGATCAACATGCCAAAAGGGGTGCCCTATCTTGAGACTTTGTTTTTTGTTCTTGAAGCTATCCCCCCCACCATTTGCAACATGCTGCTCTGAGCTTGGCCTGCCGACAGGGGCAGCAAGGACAATGTCACGGGTGCCAGCAACAGCGTATGCTGCTTGCCTGCTCTGCTCTTAGAAAGGAACCAAATCGAGCGATGCGGATGACAAACCGATCTGAACTTAGGCCTGCCACACCTATTCCTGCAGCCCTGCAAAGGGGCTTATCCAAGTTCCTGAGTCTGAAAAGGTGGGTGGCACGACAGACGAGGACCATGATGCTATGGTTGTGACGTGGCTGGCTTGTATTGTTTGATGTCGTAGCCGAATCATGACTCGTGGATACGTGACGGTGAGATTGCGATGTACCCCATTGATTACATGCATGGTTTTGGGTACATCCCTGGATACCAGAATAGGATCTTCCAAGTTTTGGCCAGAGCATTTCTGCCAGAAGCAGCAGTCGACCAGAATTGGCGACCGCGAGGAGTGCTGTGAAAGTGCCAAATGCACAAAAGTTCGGCAGAACATGACAGAGCTTGGCGAGAAGGAGTACTGCAACCAGAACGCAATGAAGCTGACTCGCTTTTTTCGTAGTGTGCTTTTTGTGATCTGCGCGTGTCCGCCGCACCCCTTGAGGCAACGGCCTGGAGAAGGAAAAGTGCCTGACCATGTACTCCAAGCTCCTTGGCCGGGCTAGGCAGGGCCAATCCGTTTAAGCAGCAATTGGTGTGAGTGCGTTCGTGCGGGCGGGCGGGCGGGCGGGCGGGCGCGTGTTTGTGCGTGCGCGTGCATGTGTGTGTGTGTGTGCAATATGATTTTTGTATCTTATTTGTTGTATTGAGAGCTGCAGATTTCCCGATGCCGTCACTAGCAGAAAACAGACTGAGGCATACCGGCTCGACACCAGTGAAGAATGCCGAGGGAAAGCTCGTCACCACCGTGAACACATCTTCGATCGTGATGCCACGTACTTAGAGCGACCCCTGAAAAGCCAAACATTAGGGGTTGGCATGTAGCAATGAGGTGCAGCTTCGATGATGTCTACAACTTGTGCCGCTATGATGTCGCTGATGCAATTCAGGGTGGCTGCACAGGCGTGTAGGTCAAAGAACCTTGATGGGGGCCATGCAGGGAGAAAAAGCTCCGACACTGCTTCGCTGGGCTTGTCTCAGAGCAGGGACCCCCGCAAAATGGTTGGTTTCCACATTTGGTTTGCCTTGAACAATTATCCAAAAGGGTGCCCTCGAAAGCAGACACATCCATATTGCCATTGTTTGGTGCGGTCGGCAGTGAGGCCTTTTGGGCGTTTTAGTCTGAGGCTTGAGATCAGGGCCTTTGCCGGCTGCCCAGAGAGCCGTCTTCGGAGATTCCCAGCTCGAAGTTCGAAGTCGAAGCATGGAGATATTGGCCTAAAAGTTCCCTCAGCTTGGGTGTGAGGCAAGCATCGGGCCTCGAGCCGCGATCCAGCCTCATGAGCCAGGAAGCACAAAGGCGAAAACGCCACTGTTCCGAGCTGGGAGCACCATCATGGCTTGTGTCCTTGTCTGGCCGCGTTTGTTACTCTTGGTAGCAAGGTATTCAAAGTTTGCTGTTGTGCAGCGGATTAGATTTTGATGGGCCTTGTATCCTTTTCTACGTGGGGACGCAAGGGAAGCAACCTGGAGATTCGATCATTGCTTGTAACTAATTGCAATTGCACCTGCAACGCTGCTTGAGCTCGCGAAATACTGTGAAAGCAAACCAATTTGTCTACCTCAAGTCCGCATTGCCTGAACCATGCAACAGAGTTTGCATCCCAGCAAGCTCAAGACAAGATATGCACTTCAGGCCCTAACGGGTTTCAACGGGTTCCAGCTTGCACCAAAGGACAATCGCGTGTGCAGCATCCGAAAGACACCCATTTCTTAGAACCCGCTCAACGGGTCACCCAGCAGTGCTGCCATGGGCGTGCCATTGAACGCGGCAGAAGCCAGACTTCCCCGCGAGCCGCAAAGTGGCCGGGACCTTTTGGGGGTGCGCGACTCAGATTGCAGATTGAAGGTAAGCCAAGACGCGAGGGTATGTGTCAAAAGGGGGGACCCCTCAAACTGGTGGTTAAACTCTGGTTTCCCCTTGAAACCACACCAAAAAGGGCACCGCAAAAGACGACGAGACCGGGCGCAAGGAGCCTTTCCGGCTGCAAGTGGAAAGTCGGGCACCAAGTTTGTACTATCATCCTTGCTGAAGGATAGAGCTATTGACTTTGGCCTGGAAGGCTATGAAGACTTTGCTCGGCTGCTTCCTGGCCTAGAGCAGGCTGGAATGTTGCCATGAGCATCTTTCGCAACTGACATTGGCGCAGGACCAAGAGAGTCGTGCAAGCGTAGAGGAGGAACTCAGAAAGCTTCAGATCGACCCCGAGGCCAGCAGTGGTGATGTCACGGTAGGATGTTGGGCAGTTTAGCTTGACAACCGGGCCAGTCGTTGCTAGAGCGTTTCTTTTTTTTTCTCGAGATCTTCTATCGCAATCAGAGCAGATTGCGTGTGAGCGGGACGTGACCTCAGTTTTCATGAGCAGAAGAGCATGCAAGATCTTGATGGTATTGAGGCTCCCACGAGAGCTGCTAGATCCCGCAGAACTTTCAAGGGCTGAGGCACATGCGATTTCACCATTTTTTGTTGGTAGTTACGAAAAGGGACACCAGGGGACAGCCGCATTTTTCTGCGGGGCCTCTCTGTCTCGACACATACCCAGATGGACAGGGATTCGCTCCTCCTGCAAGAGCTGTTTGTGCTGATCCACTCGATGCACGTGATGCACACGATGCACACGATGCACCAGTCCCTGCCTTCGCACTGAAGGCGGGACAAGGCCAGAGGCAGGAGATCCAGCTTCCAGCTTGGAGTCCAGATCTGAGGAGGAGCCATGCGAAGAGATAACCCTGGGAGGCGAGCTGGGCTTCTTGACTGGGCGCTTTTGCTCTGATTTCCATGTGAAGCTTGCAGGTGAGACTCAGGGAGGTCGTTTGGGGCGGTCCTTGCATGTTTTGTGCAGACAGGTTTGCACAGAATTCTACGGGGGCTTGAGGCATGAAACTCCTGAAGGACTCTCATCCAGGCGGGCTCCACAAGCCAAAACCCGATTCCTTACATGACTTTGGGTAGATGAAATAGTACCAGGTTTGATGACAGCTCAGCGTGTAGGCTGCAGATAGACAGCCTCACGGATGAGGGCGATGAGCCTGATTTTCGGCAAGAGCTGGAAGGACGGAGCTCATTGCCTTTAACACATGTCATTCAGCAGCATAATTTGGCTTGTCTGGGTACCCGGAAACCAACAAGAACCCATTTTGGCACAAACTTATTTTGGCGGTTCTGCTATTTTGACACAAGAACATTCGAAACACAAGGACGCGACGATGAAGATCTCGTGGAAGTCCTGCACTGAATGCTGCACAAGTAAGTAGGAATTGAGAAGGCTGCCTGTTTTGTGTTGAATGTGATCAAGGCATTTCATTTGGATCCAGACTTTGACTACGACAACGCGCAAGGGTCCAGCAAGGTTGCAGGAGCCACCTGGGGCTGGACTCCATTTGGCCTGAACACGGCAACAGATTCCTTCGCGCGGAACACATCGCCTGCTGCCAGGAGATGAGATAATGCCTCGGCCTACACGAACGGATCGCGAATTCGAAGCTGTTGATGACACTGCAGAAGATGCGGTGGAAGAGCCATAAGCCAGAAAAAACACCGCTGGGTCGTGCGGAAGTGGAGAGCTGTTAACGCGTACGTTGTCCATGCTGCCCGCACTTTAGTTGCCCGGAACGTGCCATGAGGGCTTGGCCATATCAAAGCAACGGACCTTTGTCTCAGTGTTGGCTTAGTGCGGCACTGAATGGTAGCAGACTTCCTGGGCGATTATGTGGGCAACACAGGTGCAGGCAATTAGTTATGATAGTGGTTGACTTGTTTTGCTGCACCGAGACCGCAACATGTTGCTAAACATTTCCTGCTTTTTGCATGGGGACTTGTTTGGGGGGCAGAAAAGTTGTCAACCCCAGCAAAGCATTACGCTGCCGGCCGCTCGCAACGGTTGGGGAATGATCGAATCTTCGACGGCTCGTTGTCCGGGCTTTGCCCAAGCCGAATGCTATTCTTCCGCATTGCCACACGAGTTTTGCTCATGCCACATGCTCGAATCCGGATCCGGCTCCCTTGGCCCACACTCTTGCTGCTGTGCAGCTCGACCCAGGCGGTCCTTTCTGTTGATGGCGTTGGGGCTTTTGAGACGATACTTGGGCAACTCACGCTGCGCGGTGTGCGGTGTGGCAGCTGCCCCTGCCAACCGATGACTTGCCTTGTGGGCACTCCCTTCGGCTCACCAGAGCTTGTTCTCGCAGGGTGGGGTCCTTGCAGCTACCACTTCGCGGAGCGAAGTAATCGTCGGGCGATAAATGCAACTTTGCGCCATGTTGGTCAACAGCAAGAGTCGCCACAGCGTCCAAGTAGCGCAAACAAGTATGCTGGCCTAGTCTACATGAGCAGCGCGCCCTTTGAGTGGAGCGCGCGTCTATCCAAAGGGACCAGCCGCAGCTTGCCCTCGTGCAGGCTTGTTGCTGGCGCGCCGGGCCAAGCCAGTTGAGCGCGCTTTGGCCTTTGCTTCACTCAATACGGGATTGCGCAAACAAAGGAGTTTCCTAGGAGCTTTCGGAGGGAAAACACCAAATAATGACCAAATGCACCAACACACAGCTATCTTTAAAAACACCCTAAGTCAACCCTAAACCGACCGTACCCTGAACCAATCCGAAAACACCTAAAACCAACTTAAAAACAAAGGCCAACCCAAAAAGGCCAACCACCCAACCGAACCTAAACCAACCCTAAACCAAGCCGAAACTAAACCGACTGGCTGTGGGCGACGCCAGAAGACGGTGGTTGGGCTGGAGATCTGGCCCGGCGGGGAGGGAAGCCGGAAGCTGGAGGCCGGAAGACTACTGTGCAGCTGCTCCGGGCAAGCTCTCCATACCAGCCCCACCCCACCCCACCCCACCCCACCCCACCCCACCCCACCCCACCCCACCCCACCCCACCCCACCCCACCCCACCCCACCCCACCCCACCCCACCCCACCCCACCCCACCCCACCCCACCCCCCCACCCCACCCCACCCCACCCCACCCCACCCCACCCCACCCCACCCCACCCCACCCCACCCCACCGGTCTCACCTGGAAGGCCGCGGGCATCGGGTAACGCACCCGGAGTTCCAGCGAGCCAGGCGGTGTCGCTTGACGGTGCTGGCCTTTGAAGGTTGAGGGAGATGGGGCGAGGAGTCTGCGGCCTTCCTCCACCGCATAGCACACGGCCGAGCTTTCGCCAGCCCCGCGGCACAGCGCACGGCTGTCGGCGCCGGTGGGGGCAGATACTCGCACGAGCATCTCTCTGCCAACCGACGTTTGTTCCAACGAAACTTGCGGGCTTCACATACATGCATCTTGCGTCGGCGCCTGCGCCTGCCGCTGCCAGTGGCATGTAGGTTGTAGTGGTGCCGGGTGCTGGCTGTGGGTCGGAGCTATCCTTGCAGCGGTCTTCTTCCCCCCCTCATCGGGGCGCGTGTCGCAGCAGTAGCTCGCGCACACAACCGCGCCTCGGGGTCGCTGCAGATGATCGCCGGCGTCTGGACTTCGTCCTGTATGGCGCCACTCGCCTCGGCGAGGCCTTTTGATGCGATGAGACGCTGGTGTCGCCCCGTCAACACGGCCAGCGTGTCTGCGAGGCCCGCCGGAAAAGGAGGGAAACTATTGACCGCTTGTCCGCTACCTGAATTCCATCTCAAAAGGGGGGGGGCCGTTGGCGACAACCTGAAGGCGCCGGTCATCGAGGCGGTCGACCGGGAGGTTCATGTTCGCAAGGCGTGAGTTGACCGTGACTCGAGCGCCCGCCTCGCGGCAGACCCAGGCGGCCGCTCGTTCGAAAGGGCAACCGCGGCTCCGCAACAGCCCAGCCCGGGCGCACGCCGCGCGGTGGTCGCTAAAGGGGTCGAGGCGGCGAGCACCTAGATACGGAGCAAGACATGGCAAATTGGTTGCTGCCTGCGTGCAAACTTCGCAGCAATGTGCAAGGTCGGGATGTGTGGGTTGGGCTGTGCTCAGGCACGGCCTGATTGCGCCACCAGGCCTAGACAGCGCTCTGCATGGCCAAAAAGCCGCGATCGGAGATGGGAAGGGGGAGACGGAGCCGCCGAAGGGCGAGCGTAAGCGCGGAGGGACCGACAACTAAGGGGAGACCGGAAGGACAGTGAACATCCGACCAGCAAGCGAGCCCTGACACAAGCAAGAAACTGGAAAAGCGGCCACGCTGGGTGTGCAGCTGTGCGGACAAGCTGTCCTCAACAACGGCGGTGACCTGACGCTGCCACCCACGGGCGGGATCTCCAAGCAAGGCGAGGCCATCGGAGTCCTCAAGCAAAGGAGCGGGCTCGGCCCCGGCCAAAACTTCCTGCCAAGTGGGAGAAGCCAGGAGGGAGAGGAGGGCTACCTCGAGCAACGCAGGGAGCTGGCGTTGCAAACTATCAGCCCGGGAAGCCCCCCAGGCGAGCTAAAGGAGCAGTAGCCATTTCCTATGTGCGAATGCGTGGCCTGCAGCGGGCTAATTTTGCTTTGGCCTTACCGGCTTAGTAAAGCGACTGCCCCTTTGCACAAGCATCGGCCGCTGCCAGGGCCAAGTCTCTTGCGGGGAAAGCTGGCAAAGGGCCGCACTGCAACAAGTCCGACTAACAGTCAAGCAAGGCTGCGTCATGAGCAACAGCAAAATCCGCAGAGAGGCCAGGTTGGGGCAACCGAAGCACATGGTTGCAGCGAGGGGGCGCGCAGAACAGCAAAAGCAGCCACGAAGCCTGCAAATCCTCAAGCCCACGGATGCGCTGGAGCAGGCCGGCGTGGCTGGCGGACAGGGGCTGCAACTGAGCAGCAACAAGCGCGGGGGAACCGATAGGGGGCAAGGAGTGGCAACCCACCCAAACAGAACCGTCTCCCGCATAGAGATCGCCAATCCCGGGCGGGACTTGGCGAGCAAAATTCCAGATTCGGGCCTTGCCGTGGTTGAGCCGGGTGCGGGCGTGACGCAACAAGGCCGCAGCGAGGAAGTCAAGAACCGGTCTGACGCGCTCAGGCTGGACCACGAACACTCGGGCTTTCTTTACAAAGGCCAGCTCATCGGTGGCGAAAAGCGGCGCCGGGAAGGGCACACAGGCTGGCGGCATACGCACGGCTTGCGCTGGACCATCACTGACAAATGCGGTTGAGACTGCGCCACGATTCGAAGCGGCATGCTTTTCGCACGCACTGCTGAACAGTGTCGCCGCTTTTGGGCTGGAGCACCCGCCAACTTCTATTGCGAACGCAACCAACCTGCAACTCGAGTTTGGCTGAAGGAGCTGGGTGCGCGCGTGCCTTGGCACGACGCACTAATCGTAGGGCCGCGCCCTCAGCTCGGCCCTGGTAGCACCGAGCAGCGCCCGCGGAGGACAGGGCCGAGACAAGCGTGGTGCCGACGGCAAGTTGCATACCTCCCCACAGAGGCAAGCCGTTGGCAACGACCTCAATCCTCCGGTCGTTTCCTGGCATGCTGCCGAGGTTGAGGTCACGGACCAGGGTGTGCGTGGCTACTACGCCCCCGCTTCACGGCAAACGCGGGCAGCGGCGCGCACACGTGCGGGCTTCAAATCTGCGGCTGCAGATGCAGCTTGCTTCCACCCGCGCCCGATGTTGGGGGCATGCGGTGGGGGAGGCACGTCACTGCCAAAGAGCTGGTGCTACTGCGGAGCGGTCGGGATCTCTGATGGCTGGCAGGCTGCCAGCCCACGAGCCGTGTCGCAAGGCGAGCTGCGACTGCCGGACGTCAATGTCCGGGAGTGGGCCTCCTGCATCGCCAAACCGCAAAGCACACAAACACCTCTGCAATGCCGCATCATGTTCCCCGGCAAAATGGCGGGTGAGCTCTGGGTGTGCGATACGGAGGGCATAATTGCACTGCGGAAGGACCGACAGGAGGGGTAGGTCTTTGTTGCGCACTGCCTCCAGTTGGGGTTTAAAAATGCATCTCCGCCCAATTAGGGGCGCTGAGGACAGCTATCCCCTGCTCTGCTGCGGGGAGTTGGGAACTTCCCCGCGCATGGACATTCCGCGGATTTGGTTTGCGGCGGAGCAACGCCGAGTTGAACATCTCGGGCTGCCCCTGGCCCTTTTTGATGCGATGTCCGGGATCCGCTTGTTGGCATGATTCTGCGCATGGCCACCATCCCGGGGGCCGCTCATGTCCGCCAACGTTTAGCCGCCGGCTTCATCATGCCTGCGCGTCGCCGGGTTTGCCGCCGGCTCGGCTGCCCCGCAATTTTTTGCCCGCATTTTTTGGCTTCTCGTTGCACTGGTGGCGCTCTCGGCGTGGGCGGGCCCAGCGCGTTCAGCTGCATCCCATTTGCGGGACCGCCATTCATTTCGTTGCGGGCTCGCCCTTTCGATGACCACTTTTCCCCTCACCTCGCCAATGTTTTTCACGCCTACGCGTCGGCATTGGGTTTGCTGCGCACCGCTTCACAAGGGAGCATGGTCTGGCTCTGACCTTCCCGCCAGGGACAGACAGACAGCTAACGTCGCTGCTTCCTGATCCTGCCTCTTTTTTCAATCCGTGGAGCCCTCTTGGCAAACATGCCTTGCGGCAAACTGCTTTGGGCGCGGCTAAGTTCGCTCCCTCAGCGGCGAGGATAATGCCCTGCTTAACACTTAGCGTCCGGGCGCGGCTCGCAATCCTGTTCGTCGCCATTGCAGGCGCAACAATATCTTGTGTGATTGCACTGCTTGTGATTCCCAGCATGCTTCTGCCCGCATTTTTTTTCTGACTGCCATTGTTTTGCCTCGGCTTGCTCTCCAGCAGCGTTTTATATATCCGACCGGATTGGTGGTCCTTGCAGACTGGTGTGACGGCAAAAGCTGCGGGCTCGATATCAAGTTGCGGCGTGTGCCTTAGGCATTACTATTGCTAAGACGAATTCCCCACGGGATTCCTCTTATTGACTTCTAGTCCTTGACTTTTACTTGTGCTCGTGAAGACGCTTCCGATGTTTTACCACGTGTGCCTTTTGGCGCCGTGTTCGTTTCTTACTTTCTGTGACCCTCAACTCTGAGTCAGGTTGGGTCACCTCATCACCATCATCATCCTCATCATCCTCATCATCCTCATCATCCTCATCATCCTCATCATCCTCATCATCCTCATCATCATCATCATCGCGCAGGAGGCAGCTCAGCACCGCCTCCAGGAAGCGGTCTGACCCCCTTGCCCTCCGCAAGTGGGGCGAGCGCTACAGGGTCCAAGTCCCCTAGTGCCCGTGTTTGCTCGAAGCGCAGCTGAGACGCTCGACATGTTTGTTTGGGTGGAAATCCTCATGACACAAGCGCGACCACCAACTGAAGCAGCATAACGCGTCGCGCGACGGGAAAAAAAAAAGAACGCCTCGCGCACCGGACATAGGCGTGCGAAAAAAAAAAAAGACATCGATCAGGCGTCGGCGGAATGCTCTTGCGGCAATTTGCATGACCTTCTAGACAGCATGCCCGCATTTAGGTGCGCGGCACGCGCGTGGGTGGAGCGCGCGGCTGCGTGAGTGAGAGGGAGGGGCGCTTGTCACCACGCGCATCTTGGTCTGAGACTTGAAGGCCGGCGCCGCCTAGGGACCGCCGGATACAGTGAGGGCGGGGTTCGCAAAAAGCGGTCGACCTTTGCATCTCCCCGTGCAGCAGCTGCAGTTGCCCAGCGGCATTAAAACCTAATGGGCGCATGTACAGCCCGGTGCCGGTGGGGTGGGGTGGGGTGGGGTGGGGTGGGGTGGGGTGGGTGGGGTGGGTGGGCCCTAGGTCGGCACGAGGCCGGCTGCTCCCGTCGCGTCTGAGCAAGCTAACGAGCGTCACATTAACCGCGACCCGCGCGCCTCCATCCGCGACGACCTCGGGCTGGCGTCCGGCGGTCATTGAAGACGTTACCCGAGCGCCCGCCTCCCGGCAAACGCGCGCAGCAGCGCGCTCCAGGGGGCAAGCGCGACGGCGCTTGCGCGTTGGCAGCGCTGTGAAAGCCCGGCCGGCGCCGGGCCCAGCCTGGGACAGCAACAAGGCCCGAGACGCTCCGTCGAGGTCAGAAAAAAACGTCTCAAGGGCTCGCTGATCCAGGCTGGCACAAGCTGCCCGGTGCCGAAGGCCGTAAACACAGGCCCGGCGCGCTCAGGCTGACAAGCGACGTCAATTGCCTTGCGCGATGTTGCACCCTGGGCGTCGTAGAAGACGTAGGTACTCGGCTGAGCGTAAACCTGGGCCACGAAGGGGAGCAGCGCCGTGAGGCTGGGCCTGTGCTGCAAGCCACTCAACATGCTCGCGCGGACCGTGGTGCGAGCGTCGCGCTCGGTGGCTGCGCGCACCGCGCGGGCGCGCCACCCTGTCCGCGGGTGTGTGCCGCACTGCTGGCAGACGGTGGTGGGGCCTTCTCCTTGTTGGGCGTCGCCTGGCTCTCGCCTGTGTGGCCTGCTGCGGATGGGGCCGGACCTTCCCGCCCGCTGTCTCTCTTCCTCGCCTCCGGCGCTGCTTGTTTCAGGGTTTTTCGCGGTACCCATGGCGAGGTAGCCTTAGGAAAGCAGCAAAAGGAGCAAAAGGTTACACAGTTGCACTCGGCAAGTGCGCGTTCTTCTTCATCAGCTCTTGCAGGCCCAGCGTCCGCACTGCTTCCATGAGTAAGCTTGTGAAGCTCGTAGGCCTGTAAAACAACAGGCCCTGCTTGAGGATCTGTTTTTCCTACGCGCCTTTTGCCGGCTCAAACTGAAGTGTGTATCGCCAAAGAGGCCAAGTCTGGTTCTGGCAGTTTGGGCGCAAAGATGTTGGATGTGTCTTTCGCAGTCTGGCGTTCCATGGGCTCAGGGAAGCCTGTTTGCGTGTTAGCCATGAAACAAAAAGAACATAAGCCCACCGTTGTTGCTTTGAGCCGTTTCAAGTGCGCATGGAAGCTTTATCGCATTGGCTGGCAACAGCCTAGACTAGCAACAGCTGCCGAGTATGGCAAACATTCTTCGTCAGCTGCTGTTTTTCCATATCGTTTGCATGTATTTTGGCAATGTTCATGCAAGCCGTGTACACCTGTCGGACCTGGATGGGGACAGTTCCAGAAACTTGTGTAGCTTGCCATTACAAGAGAAGCTACTTGTGGCGTGGTTTATGCTGGTGGTTTTGCTTTCAGCCGGCACAGTTCGCCGGATGCCACATCGGTTCGCCGGCGACCAGACTGACTTTAAGGCATTCAAGTCAATGTCATGGACAGGTGTTGCATTTGCATCGCTTGCTAGTCATGCTTCGGGAATAGTAGGTTTTGTCGGATTCCAGCACATAATTGTTGCAAGGATTGTCGCGGTCAGTTCACAGGTGCTTTGCCAACTTTGCTGCTGTACATGACCGTGCTTGTGTCTATCATTGCTGTTACTACGAGTGCAATCTTGCTCACAGCTGTCCTCCTGTACTGGGTGAACGTGCGGAGCTTGTACCAATCGCCAAAAGTGCAGCTGCATGACACATGCTTCCATGAGAAGGCGGACATCACTTTATCAGAGTTCATTAGAATCGTTGGACGCTCTGAGTCTGAGATGATGGCTTGCTTGCAGGCTGCATCTGAAAGGCAGAGAGGGACTCATGAGAATACAACTGACAGCAGCTTTTCTGACCGTCACTTCACAGTCAGGGAACGAAAGCTTGCAACGGCTGCTGGAGAAGATTTCGCTGTATTCGTCAAGTATGGCAGCAGGAAGGCTTTTTTCCCAGCTCAGAGATACGCTCCCCTGGCTCATCATTTCTTCGCTGGCAGCCTTTTGCTGGCGCGCTTCCCTGCAGCAATCTTTCCAGACTGCGCCCAGTATCATTAATTTGGAGGCTCGGTGGGCAGCCCTGAGTCCCGCTTCGCAAGACAAGACCTACTACTTTCTGAGAAGCACAGAAGCTGCACTGGAAGTGGAGGTGTCGCCAAAAAGGACATCACGCGTGAGCCTTACATGTGGCAACTGCGAGCCCATTGAGCACATCTTTAGGCACCGGCTCATGCA